CGCCACCACCGAACGCATCCATCGAAGACGTAAGCCAATTACCCGTCCCCTCCCCGAGCGCGGCGCGTCGGCGCGTCGGCGCGTCCCCGAGGCGCAATGTGCACACAAATGCAGCCCGCGCCGCTGCAGCCACCTCTCTCATTTGCCGCGCAGCCAATTTGGATGAATGAATGAATGAATGAATGAATGAATGAATGAATGAATGAATGAATGAATGAATGAATGAATGAATGAATGAATGGATGGATGGATGAATGACTGAATGAATGTATGAATGAATGAATGAATGAATAAATGCATGAATGGATGAATGGATGAATGAATGAATGAATGAATGAATGAATGAATGAATGAATGAATGAATGAATGAATGAATGAATGAATGAATGAATGAATGAATGAATGAATGAATGAATGAATGAATGAATGAATGAATGAATGAATGAATGGATGGATGAATGACGCACGTTCTCTCGCCTGCATGCGCGTTGAGGTCTCCGATGATAGCCGAGGAGGACGCCGCTGCAGCACAGGCGCGCGACGCGTCCGTCCGTCCGGCCGGCCGGCGTGTTTGTCGAGCACGAGGAAATTGGACTCGCCTGCCTGCTGCTTGCTCAAAGAAAAGTTTCCCTCTCTGTGTGCCTACCTACAACGACTGAGAAAACACGGCGCGGGCCTTCCCCCACCGAACCCCCTTTCCTATCGGTTCACTCGCCACCCAGAGCCCAGAACCCCGAAGCAGCCAGGAGAGGCGGGGCCGGGCGGGGCCGGGCGGGGCAGGCCGGCAAGGCGAATAACAATGAGACAGCCGTAAGTTTTTTGCTAGGAATTAGTATGGGACTAGGCGGTGCTGCGCGGCGCTGCGCGGCTACATGGTAATGCCCCCTCCTTTTCCCCGTTGCGACACTCGGCAGTAAAAACACTTGCGAGCGATTCGGCGCCTTTATGGCTCCGCGGCTCCGCGTCCTGACTAGAGTCCCGACCGCCGAGGCTGAGGCTGCGAGGAACCGCGTTTGGACGGGTGTAATGGGGAAGTCAAGTGAGCGGGCGGGTGGGCGCGAACCCGCAACCTTCCGCGCAGTCGCTCCTCGATTTTCTTCTGTTCCTTTCTTTTCTTTTCGTGACCTGGAATGACTTCGCACGGCCACCATTATGGCAATTAAAGAGACGAGGGACTAATCTCCGTCTTCCTCTCTGCGACACCGCCGTTCCTATCAAGCCGACGGGGCCCCGCCGGCCCGCCGGCTAGAACGGGGCGTTCCGTTCGGTGCAGCAAATCGGCCCGATTACCTCGCGCACGCACACACGCGCACGCACGCGCACTCAGAGCAAAGCTCCCCCGCGACGACTGTGCCTCCGCGGCCTCCCTCGAGTGACGTCTGCTGCTGCCGGCTGCTCCCAGGCGCCTCTCCTTGAGACTCCAGCAATTTGCGGCAGACTGACTCTCCGACACTCCAGCGGCTAGACGCCAGTGGGCCCGCCTGCCCGCCCCGCCTGCCCGCCACGGCGTGGATGACTGCAGCCGGCTGCTTCAGTAGATCCGTCGCTCTGTCTCTCTCACACCCCGACGGGACGCCCCGTGAGGGCGAGAGAGACAGAGCGACTGTACGGAAGCGGCGTGCTGCAGCCTCGCGGCCGAAAGGACTCGCATTCGCCTCGGCGGCAGTGCCATCCCGAACGCTGCGTTCGTCCCTCTCGCCCTCGTGGGGCGTCCCGCCACGTCCCGCCACGTCCCGCGGGGTGCGAGAGAGACGGCGGCTGTGCGGACGGCCCGCGGGCAGGACGTGTGGCGCCCCGGGCCGGGCCGAGGACCTCTCGCAGGACCCCCGAGGACTCTGCCGGCGGACTCTCCCGGAGGACTCAAGGGCGGCTATTCTTGCTCGGCATTCAGGCCGGCGCGGCCCATTGGCGATCTCATTGGCCGCCTGAATGAGGGCCGAGAGCGAGGAGCGAAGAACGAAGCCTCGAGGAATGCACGCGCGGCGAAAGAACCGGCAGGATGGCAGAACCCCGCGGCTCGGCTCCGGTGACTTCCACTTGCAGCGCGGGAGCGGAAGGGGGGCGGAGTGGCGGCCGATCGTCCGCCGCGATACAGTCTGCGAGCGTTTCGCGCGCGATTCCTGAATTTCCACGATCGGCTTCCGGAATTTCGGCGGCGCCTCGTTTGACGGCCCGACGGCCTGTCGGCCCCGCGGCGGAGGGGCAGGCTCACGTCGGCACGAGCAGAGCAGCCATCGCCAAGGTCGCCGGTGACGCTGCAGCCGCGGTGGAAGGAGGGAGGCGGGGTCCACGGGGGCAGGGGCACGGCCAGAGGCACGGCCGCAGGCTCGGCCAGAGGGCGGGGTCCGGGGTCCCCGCAGCGCCCGTTGGACCCACGCGGCCGCACGCGGCCCGATCAGGGGTCAGGAAAACTGGCTGGTGTAGGAACCCGTGACAAACGCAGGCAAAGGTGCCGGGTGGAAGGTTGGAGGAAAGCGAAGCTGGTTGCCGGTAACGGCGGTACAGTACCTGACTTTTCCAGCCGCTCAACTTCCATTCGCCGCCGGGACGCCGCCGAGAAGCCGCGCGTCGCGGCCCCAGGACGACGACGACGACGACGCCGTCAGGACGCCGAGGAACAGCACGTCGCCGTCCTTCGCGGCCTTCCCCGCGTTGCGCCGCGTCGCCATGCGAGGTGTGCAAGCCGCAGGTGTGGCGGTGCTCCTCGACGTCCTGGACGCCCCCGACGACAGCGCGCCGCGCGTTGCAGCGACCTGCGCCGCGGCTGCCTGCCGACCAACTATGCATGCCGCACGGCGACACGGTCGTTGTCTATCAGCACTTACGCCCCCCTCCCCGATGCCGCTCGGCCTGGCTCGGCCTCTCGGGCGGGGGACCGGGGGACCCTGCAGGTAAATGAAGAAGGTGCGCGTCGCCCCCCTCCCCCTCCCCTGTCGGTACCTCCACCTCAGTACACAGGTGCCCCTCCCCTTCCTGGAGGGGGCCTCGCGGCCCGGGCCCAGGCCTGCCTCGTGGACCCTAGGGACGCCGCGACGCCGCGACGCCGGCCATGCATGCCGTGTGTCAGCGTGTCACCACACGGGGCGTGCCCGGCGAGCCCGGCGTGCCTCCAGGTCATGGGCGCGTGGGGCTGGGGGCGCTCGGGGTACCCGCGGCCCAGCCCCCACGCCCCGCCACAGTTTTTGTCATCCGCCGCCAACATCAGTGACACCAGTACACTGTCCCCGTGTCCCGGTGGGACCGGCCGGCCGGGACGCGGCGGCGCGGCGGCGCGGCGGCGAGACCTCCAGGATCACGACGACACAGCGCAACGGCACGCACTGCCCGGCCAAGACTCGCGGCGCACGTGCGACCCGCACTGCCAGAAGTTCAGAAATTGAGCTCATTGCAAAGTCGTCCGCGGGCTGGCTGTCCTCCACCGCGCCGCGCATGAGAGTTTCGGCCTGCAAGCGAGACGACGCTGGACAGGCACACGGACAGGGCAGAGGGAGAGGGTGATGGTGCAGAATCGTGGAAAATCACTGACCTCTTTCACAATAAAAGACACCACTCCAGCACAAATGCGCCGCTTGCCCACCTCGTCCAAACGCTGCGCGTTCGTTTCCCCGTCCTTCGCGGCTCGCGCCTCCAGCCGAGTGCTTCCGGAGAGTCGACTCGTCGCTCTGTCTCTGTCGTTGATTTCATGTGGCGTTCCGGAGGGGCGCGACAGAGACAGGGCGACGAAACGGCTCCTCGGTATCGCGCCGCAGGGCCGGCCGGCTGTCCAATGTCCAGAGCGGAGCCGTTGGCGACGAGCGAAGAGCGAAATGCATGCATGTCTTCATTATCGGCATTGGCGGCATCTCATTTTCGAGTTCTCATCGGACCGCGGCGTGGCGGTGCGGCCGATGCTGCATGAGCATGATGCCGACGCCGCGTCGAGAGGCCGAGACGCCGAGACGCCGAGAGCAGCAAGCGGCCCATTCCGAGGCAAGCGAGACTAAGCGAGTAGCGAGTCGCGCGAGCCCCTGCACTGGGAGACAGCCAGGACGGGGCCAAGCCGGCCCGACGCCGCGCCTCCCCTGGACATCCATATGGAGTCCGTGGAGACGAACCAACTAATCTCCGGCATTTGAATTTTCCTCTCCTGTCGGACATTTTCATGAGAGAAACAGGCCAGGCGCCACGCCGCAGGTGTTGGCCGCGCGCACCGCGCCGAAGGTGGCCGAAGCCTTGCAAGGCTCGACGTGGACGGAAAAAATAGTGAAAGCACTCGGAGTACTGCGCGGCCCTCCGAAAGGTGAATAAATTGGAGGCGAGTTTCCGTTGGTTTGACCCGCCGAGTCACAGCACTGCCATGGCACTGCCGTCCCAAAGTGCTGATTAGAACTGTGAAGTGGAGAAGCAGGGCCTGTCAGGATCCTCTAGACCCTTGCCTCCGAGTCCATGCGTTGTTTTTACATCCTGCCCCGCCTTCCTCACCGTTATTTGTCAGCTTTTTTCGGAAAGGGGGGGGGATTTGTCGGTATTCTTAAATGCGTGCTAAGTACAACTATGCAGTACCTCCTTACGGTCGAAACCGTACAGATAAACCGACGATTTCGTTCTGAAACTGTGCTTCTTTCTACGGTAATGCTCAGGCAGAGTCATACTTGTCGGTTGCTCTGTCGCTGACCTGAGGAGACCGATGGGTTGCATACCCATCGGGCGGCTGTCTTCCCTGTCTTCCCCGCCTTCCCCGCGAGCCCTTGCTGGGCTCTGGCGCACAAACCAAGCGCGCCCTTATCCGTTCTCGATATTCCTCATCTTCTTAAAAAAAGTTATGACTCAGAACTTTGCACGGTAGCGTTTCACTGTACTTCAAGATTTGAGTTTTACGACGCAATAGCAATCACGAGGACTCGACGGGTACTCGATTCAGATTCGAAATTTATCTACAGTGTTCCAACCAATACTGCGAAACTTTGATATACAGAGGAACGCCACAATGAGAAAGAGATCTGTCATATCGACACATCGTGCTTTTGAAAGAAACTAAACTGTGTCAGTTTCAGGACATAACACGAAACGTGCGTCTGTAACTCTTCTTTTTGTGTTTTTTTATACCGTGTGTTGGTAAGACTGCCCTAAGCTGTCAAAACAACAACAATAGCTAAATTGTGTTTTGGTTGGTTGAAAACATGTTATTTCATCTCTGTGGCAGTAGCAGCTTTTGCCATTGATTAAATTCTCATTACTTTGGCAGTCGACATTCTATTTTATTTTGACAAATGCAATTTGCGTCGTCTGTTAAGTTTGAACGTACCTATATGTTAGACTCTTGAAATGGCAGCTGACATGTCTACTCCTGAACAGGAGAGTAAAGTTCCAGGTTATGTGAGTGGATCTTCTCCTGAATATGCTCTCTATGAGGTTCTTAAGGACCTCTGCGCAAATAATGCTCAATATTTTGAATCACATGACAATGAAAATGGCTTACGGTTACATGGTGCATTCTTGGCTCTCATTGATCATGTCGAGTCGGTCAAGCCTGCTGTAGATTTTATAAGAGTATCTGCTTCTTCATTTGATTTTGATGAAAACTGCCCTGGTAATGGTTATGCTAGTTTTGTAAGTGTTGTCGATGCCTGTATTCGCCATGGTGTCAAGTTATGTAAGCAAGTCTGCATCAATCGGGAATCCTTCTTCTTCAGGGCAAGCTATTACATGAGGTAAGGCTAAAGACGAGTTTTTGTTGTGTTTGGTTTGACTGTCGGTATGATTAATTTATTTTGATTTCTTCTAATTTTTAAATTTAATTGTAGAGAGGTTGAAGCATGTTCGCACCTTCTGGCATCATTGGTGACATGTCTTGTACATCTTCGTCAACTAATGGAGTGGAGTGAACCAGGTGAACTCTTTCCTGCTGGTGACCACTCCCCTCAAGAACTTCTTGCCAAGGCTGAAAGTATTAACCAGTATTGCTTTTACGGCCGCTGTCTTGGTTTTCAGGTAACAATAGATCTGATAAAAACTCAAAGGTTCGTTAGTAGTAGATTTTTTATTTCCAATGATCAAAACCATTGTTTCATGTTCCAGTTTTGTGAATCTGTTCAAATTGTGTTGAAAGCTGTATCAATAGCTATGGCTTCTTATAGTGATGTATACTATGGTGAAGGTGGCTTTGTGTCTCGTGCCACTAATTCTGTTTGGAATGGTATGTATCAAAAACATCTGCTAAGAATTTATCTGTGTGCCAGTTTAATATTTGTTCATGATGTTCTCTAGGTGGCAAGTACTTCATGGATCCTGAACTTCGAGCTCGGCGCATAGTAAATATTTCACAATATGCCGATGTTCAGTTTTGCAAGTCTTTCTGGTTTCTGGCTGAATCTGGTAAATATTGTGTCCGATTCTGTTACTATCTATTGCACTGTTCTAATTATATTTTTATCAAGCAAATATTTCATTTGTCAGAGGTGATGCAGCGCCTTCCTATGATGGTTTGCCCAGCTTTGATTGTGAACAAAGTCATCTCCATACCCCCAGAACCTTTAGAGCATACTCGCGCCGATGGCAGCACCATACAGATACCCATTCCCACGGTGCACATTGGCCCTCAACCTTTGATGGTTAGATTGATGTCTGCTGTGCGGAGGGAAGGGATGGTATGTATTGTTATTGGTGCAATTCACTGACAGTTTTAGTTTGTGTTGTACTTTGCTTCTTGGTTGAAAACAAACAAAGCTTTTGAATTCCTTTTCAGGTAGGAGAAGCAGGAAACAAATCTGATACAAGACCACCATCACCTGCTTTAATTTTCCACTGCCATGGGGGAGGCTTTGTGGCTCAAAGTTCCAGCTCTCATGAGCCGTATCTTAGAGATTGGGCTCGCAGGCTGGGAGTGCCTATACTCTCTGTTGATTATTCTCTAGCTCCAGAAGCACCTTACCCTCGAGCACTTGATGAGATGGTTTACGCATATTGCTGGGCTCTGAATAACTGCCACCTTTTAGGTTCTACAGCACAACGGGTTGTGTTTGTTGGTGCGTGTTTTGTTGAGAGTTAACTTTTGTTTCAGATATGAGGTGTAGTAATAAAATGATATGAAATTCATCTTATTTGTTAGGTGATTCTGCTGGTGCAAATCTCAACATGGCTCTGGCCTTAAAATGCATTGAGCTTGGCCTACGCCCCCCAACAGGCTTGTTCATGGCTTATGCGCCTGTGCTGGTCTCCTTCGTTCCATCTCCGTCCCGTTTACTTTGTCTGATGGATCCCCTTCTGCCTTTTGGATTTATGATGAGGTGTTTAAAAGGTTTGAAAATCATCATTTCATTTGTCACATGTGTTGTCATTGAAAGCCTAGCTAGGTATAGCCTTGAACCTTTCATTCTTATATAAATTTCTGTGTGTATCCTTGCAGCATATGCTTGCCCTAAAGAAGACAAAGAGAAATTATCTGAATGTGGTACATCAGTAGACGAAACTGCTGATTTGGCTGAAGCTGACTGTCCACTATCTCAGACTGAGTCGGTTGAGGCCGAACCAGCAGTGGAGGCAGTGGAGGGAAACTTTGGTGTGCAGATCAATGAGTCACCAAGAACTGCCCCTGGAAGTGTTAGTGATACGGAATCATTCGAGGAAGTCTCAGAAAGTGATCTCGCTGCACTGGCTGCTTTGTCAGTTGGCGGCATGTCTGCCCGACAACATATGCAACCTGAGGCTGACCAAATCACTCCCATGGTTTGACAATTTTTTTATGTTTTCTAATTCAAATACTTTGCTTTAATTAGGTGTCCTAAAAAAAAATGTTAAAAAATTAAGAATTTTGTATCTATTTTGCGTGTTACAGAGGTATGTGTTAGATATGGACACAGATTCTGAGGGCCACCAAATTCCTGTTCTGCGAGCTTGTCCTGGAGAAGTTGCAGAGGAAAATGTCATCTTTCAAGTTGGTCAGCGTGTTGATGGATATGGTATACAAGAAAGGTAGTGTATAGTTGAACATCACAAATCAATTTTAAGTCACATTTCAGAAATAATGCTCTGGTTTTCTCATCTCAGAGTTAGTCAAATGGCTGACAGCTTGGCAAGTACAGTGTCAAGTTCATTTTCTTCTCTCTTGGCTTCCAAAGCAAGCAGTCCCTCTAACAGCAATGTTTGTGACACATGTGACACACCAAGGTAATTTCATAGATCACACTAATACTGTAGTTTAATTATAACTATGTAATATGTGCTTTAAACAATGAATGTTAAATTTCTAAATAGGTCAGCCTGGTCCCAACTGGATGCCCTCATGCAACGAAGTCCAACTGAAGAATTTAAATTTTCAGTGCCTCGTGACCCCTATCTGTCTCCATATTGGGCCACTGATGAAGTATTGCAACAACTTCCACCTGTCAGCGTTGTGGTAAGAAATTTGTTACAAATTAATTTTTTTTTCTCTAATGAATTGAGTTGAATGTTCACCAAAACCTATCTTTATCCTCCCTATGTAGAGTGCTCAGTTTGATCCTTGCCTCGATGACTGTGTTATGTTGGCCAAGAAGTTACGAAACCTGGAAAATAATGTAACTCTTGACGTTTTGGGAGGACTACCACATGGATTTCTCAATATCAGTTTGGTAAGCGTCCCCCCCCCCCCCTCCTTTCTGTTTCCTTTGAGACAGACCACCTTTCCTCTTGATATTCATTACAACTGTATTTCTTTTGATTTTCAGCTAAGTAAAGAAGCACATGAGGGTTCTAAACTGTGTGTCAAACGAATCATGGCCCTTTTGAAGATGGAGTCTTCTCCTGATTCCTCTCCTGAAAAGTCACCTTAGGTAGAGAAAGAATAGATGTCCTTATGTTATCTTAGTTACCTTTTGCCACTCTACACACTGCAACTTCTTTAAGTTGTCAGTCACGAGTGTACTCTACTTGCTGTGATGAAGAGCACCAAATCTTTGCTATTGAGATTGGTTCTGTATGAGATTACTGTTATAATATGTGCCTGCAAATCACTTATATCATATGTAGTACATTTGTATATCTCTATGTTTGTAGGTTTCTATGGCTATTCCGCCTACTGTAGAGAACAAATTGCCATTTTTGTAAAGATATGTTTTAAATGCTCAATATGTCTAAGTGATAAGATCGTGGCATTGTAGGTTTTCTGAGTCATTTTGTTTTTAAAAATTATTGTTATTACACTTTTTATTCGTAGAGCAATATTTGTTTTATATGTTCTGTTCCCTTGTATCTGTTTGTTAAAACAGATGCATTGATATCCTTTAAAATAGGCTATGTTCCAGAAAGTGATATGTACTGATTTTCTACTTAATATTTTTCCTTTCTCATAAATATTACAAATGAGTCCTTCCATAGCTTGGGGATAAAAGTGCCTAGAATTAAATGTTTATGACAACAAGGGTTACTGAGTGCTGAACATGATTTAATATGGAGAAGCAACTCTGCAACAGAAACTATTCAAACTGTGAAGAAGAAAGTTTTGAAATGGTAGACTACTTTTAATTGAGGTCTTTAAGCATGCACTTTGGGTTATGAACTTACTGTATCTGTAAGAATGTTGTATACACTGATAGCAGGTGGCATGAGGTGATACAAAAATTAAAAGTATGCAAGTTGTATAAGTTTAATTTTTTTTTGGATAGGCAGAAAATCAGATTAATAGATACAACAGATAACACAAATAAGAGCTCCAATTTGAAAACATGTATCGAAAATGAAAAATTTCATGAACTTAGAAGAGAACGGAATTTTCCACAAAGACCAAGAGTTAAAATTTGCTTTCCTTCCAAAGTACAATCAATTTTTAAAAAACTGTCAATAGAAGCTTAAATCACAATTTACCTGGGCAGGGAGAGGGCACAGTCAATGCAAATTCGTTTGCTCATACTGAGAATGCTGTCATTTTCAGTTCTAAGTTTAATAATGGACCACTCTAAAATTACAATGCTTCAACAGAGAATGGCCAAGGTGATAAGACTGATGCTACAAAATTACATGTACGAAAAAGCTAGAAAGTTGGTACAGTTGAGCGGGACAATAGTAATTATCCACATATCACAATTTTGGATGCAGAACTATATGAAAATTTTCTTGGTCTACTTTTGAAGCACCAGTTAAATGATAAGAGAATTCCATGAGTAGTTTGGATGCAGTTGATGGTATTCAACATGTCCTGGACACCAAACTAACCAGTTCCAAACATGCAAATCACTTTCAAAACCGGGAGGAAAAAAAAAAACAAACTAGAAGCTCATTTCTCTTTCTCACCCTCTTTTTTGTCTCCATTGTGGAGAGCAGTATCACCATTCACAATCTTTGGCCTCAACCTTTTCTCGAGCACGTATGCATCTGCTGGCTCAATTCTCTTGTAATAACTCTCTTTAGTCTCAACTATTTCAAATCCTAGCTTTTGATAGAACTTGAGAGCACCTTCGTTACATACTTGCACATGGCTGTAAAAACCAAAAAATAACATGATTAAGAAAAGGATATAAGGAACAGATTAATACATTTTTAATACATTTATGTTACACTTATACTTACAGATAAATGCTACTGAAATTTCCATCCTGTTCAACAAGGTTGTGAATATGGTTAAACATTACTGTGCCAATGCCCAATCTCCGGTAAGGATAAAGACATCCGAGAGTCATGATGTACAGGCGTCGGGTTTTCTCAGAAGTATCCACTCTACAGCAAACAGCACCAACAACAATATCATTGTAGTAAGCTGTAAAGGAAGCACACAAAATTAATAAATAGGGGTTCATACAGGTAAACACAATAATATTTTTCAGCATGTGGTTTAGGATTTGAAAATACTCCTACCTAGTTTAGCAAGCTCTCCAGCTTCCAGCACGTCCCGATAAAACTTGTCATTGTATATAACAGGGAAAACCACTTGATTCAGTTTTCGCAGTTGTTTTAAATTGTGTGGCGTTACATCTCCTAGTTCAATATTAGACCTGAAAGTGAAAGAGAACAATTTCATTCATTGCCAGAATTGCACTAGGAAGATGAATAACATGGTAGGACGAAATGACTTCATGTCAACAACATTCTTTGGGTGGCAAAGGCCAAAAGTTATAGATTACTGATCGCTATTACACAACAGTGTGAGGTGCACCGCGAAGTTTCAAATCGTACATTTCAGCAGCAGAGGCATTCAAGCCTAAATCTGACCTAACCACATTGAGGTACAATGCAACCAGCAAAAAGAATTTTCCTCAAACGAGATAACCTCTAAATTGGCATAACAACAACAAGAACCACCCCATCATTCTCAATCGGAACCTACATACACTACCTCGTCATGTTTAGGGACGAAATTTTGACAGAGGGATAGAAACTGATCAGGTAAGATTGGTGTAGAACCGCGAACAGTTCCCGCAGTTCTTTCCTTCGCACGTTTGAACCGAATCTTCAAGCACCGATTTCGACCCGAGCGCACCCGCCGTCGTGCAAATAGTGCATGTCTCGGCTATACACAGACCCATTGACTAATCACAGGACAGAATCAAGAATTTTGTGGAAAAATTCAAAACCAGACAAAACACGCAAAACATTGCAATGTTTCTGTTTTGAAATTTAACGAGGTGCGTATGAGGACTAAATCTCATAAGGATCTATTTGGGAGGAAATTAGAAACAAGTCACCAATTTTTTTAAAAAGGATTTCCCCCGAAGCTTTTCTTTATTGAGAGAAGATAACCTCAATAATTCTTTAGCTCTTTATTTTTTTCTTTCGCCTGGTATTGAACACTATTTATTATACTGCACCGTCCACATCGTCATCATTTATTTGATCCATTCCATTGGCGTGATTTTACTTCCAAATTTAAATGCCATGGGATAGTGTCACACCCATTATTGCTCCACCCATTAGCACTTAACTCTATCCTTCAATAAAGGGCAGTTTTCAACATGCGCTATCTTATTGTTTCTTTAGATCATTCTGCAATGGCAGACAGTGCATCATCGCCCATCATGAAGAATGATACAAAAAGCAACAGTGACCATGAAAATGTTGTTGAAAAGCTTGAGGCCAGTGTTTTAGAATCACCCAAATGCAAAAGAGATTTTCAATCTAGTTTGTCTGATTCAGATAGTGTCTGCGCTGAAGGAGAAACTGTGTCTAAAAAGGCATCCTACGGGTGAGATAGCATGTATTTTTGTATATTTTTTAAATACAATTTAATATTTGTCTTGACACTACTGTTATCTCATTTTTTACAGGGATAGAATATCTAAGGTGCTTCCAAAACTATGGAAACTCCTTCCACCTAATGTGTGCAACACGTTTCCACAGTTGGATTCAGTTCCGAAACCTATTTTAAAATTGATGAAAGATGCAGAGGACATTGTCCTAAATTTAAACAGGTTTGCTTTTATACTTGTAATGATCAAGATACATTGTATTTTTTGCGACATCCATCTGTTGACATTTTGCTTTTCTTAACTTTACCTTACTTTTTGTCTGTTACTAGTGTAACCAGCAACGGTGATGAAAGGAAATTAAGAAATGATGCTGAGCGGGCTTTAACGTCCATACAAGGAGTCTTAGACCACACCTGGGAGCAGCTCAACACTGGTCATTGGAGAGATGTTCCTCTGGTCCATCGCCATGTATTCAGTATAGCCAGTCTTGTCAAGGTGCTAATTTTTAATTATTAAAACAAATAGGGTCAAGATAAATCAGAATTACTTTTTTAAATTTAAAAATAAATAGATTTACTCATTTGTGTTGTATTCCAGATTCTTAGCCTTCTTCAGTCACAAGCTGGAGGAGAAGAGACTCTTCTGCGCCTAGCCCTGAAAGCTGCAGATATGGGTTTATTATTAGGAGCACCTCTGCCTCCTCCAAATGAGTGCCTTGATTTAACTGTTGCTGCCAGTGTTTTAAGCACAAGCCTTGCACAAGTAATTGATCAGTCTGGTTCTGAATCAGGTACAGTACTCAATCCAAATATTATCTTGGGATAGTGTTTGCAAACTCTATTTTATCATCTTGAAAAAATAAATGCATGTTATGAGTAGATAGGTTAATGCCGTTATTAGTAATTATACAATTCAATGCCTCATATTTTGTCAGATTCCATCATCCCAGTGGAAAAGCCTGCGGTACCATTTATTCCCACCGGCCTTGTTGGATCTCAAATTCAGGAACTCTTCTGTCCTTCAATTGAAAAGTTTCGAGTTGACCACTTTAATCCTAAGGTCCCTGTCAAAATCAAAGGTACCTTCCTGGAATACTCAATTGTGAAGCTAATTCTATGACTAGTTTAGATCCAAAATGTAACTCTTACGGTTTTGCTCTCATAGGTTGTATGCTGCACTGGCCAGCATTCAAGAAATGGTGTGATATTGGGTACTTACAACGGGTTGCTGGTGCCAGAACAGTTCCCATTGAGCTGGGATCTCATTATGCTCACACTGATTACTCTCAAAAGTTGATGACTATTGCTGACTTTATTGAACAACATGTTGTAGGCGGAAAGTTGGGATATCTTGCTCAACATCAGTTGTTTGAACAGGTTTTGACATGTGTTATTCAGAGTGACTGTAATACAGTGTTTTTTTTTTTTTTTTTTTTTTTTTGTAAATTGCCAGATTTTTTAATAACAGTTTGAATTCCAGGTGCCAGAATTGAGAGCTGATATATGTGAACCAGAATATTGTTGTCTGAGTGATGATTCAATCCAAATTGATGAGCCTGCAAGTGATGGGACAGACATCAATGCATGGTTTGGACCAGCTGGCACCGTGTCACCTTTACACCATGATCCCAAGCACAATCTGCTTGCTCAGGTACAGCAATTGTGTTAAACACTCAAGGTAATTTTTTAATTTTTTTTTATAAGTAACATTTATTTTGAACTTCTCTTATTTCAGGTGGTAGGGTCCAAACGGATTTTGTTGTTCCCTCCTGAAGCTTCAGCAGCACTTTATCCCCATTCAGACCGATTATTAAGCAACACAGCTCGGATTGACCCTGAAAAGCCTGATTACGAACAGTTCCCCTTATTTAAAAATATTGCGCCACCTGTTGAATGTAATTTAGAAGCAGGAGAAATGTTATATATTCCACCCCGATATTGGCACCATGTTCGTTCCCTTTCTACTTCTTTTTCTGTTAGTTTTTGGTGGAAATAGGCATAGTTGGTGAGTATAGTAAAGAAAATGTGCCATAATTGTTTTGTCACATGTGTAGCTTTTCTTGTTATTGGCCCTCATAAGCCAACCTCATGTTGGCATGAACCAATAAAATACTAAAACTGATTAAGATACTGTAGAAAAAACGGCAAAAGTGAATTCTCAATATTCATCCTTGTTATTCTTGTTTCATACAGACTTCCAAAGAAGTGCATGTAAGCAAGCTGCTGAAGTTTTGCTAGTCACCTAGGATGTAAGACTATTATTGTGTTCAAGACTGGAAAAAGAAAACAAGATCCACTCATTTTTCTGTCCATATAGGTCAGAGCTGAAAACTAGCAGGGTAATGAAAGATTGTTAAAAATCAAAGTGCCTTACTCCCTGTGCCTGAATTATTACTTACCCATTTTGTTGAGAATTTTTCATAATTTTAAATATTATAAAAAGTTTTCTTCAAACTCAACTATTCTGTAGCAGAGTTTTAAATAAGGGGGGGAAACACCAACATCTTTACATTTTTAAGAACTGCTTTATTTGCAACCATTAACTTTCACTTTCAAGTTTGCCTACTTAACATCTATTCCTAATCAAGCTATGACTCAGTAGAATGTTTGTTATCACCTGTACATGAGACTTCAACTGTGAGTTGTACATAAAATGAATGTAGAAATCTCTGACAAAAATGAAGTGCTCATTAGAAAAAGTAAGGCATGTTACTTAGTTGTTAAATTGTCTTAATATTACTTACTCTGCATGCAGGGATGTTTAGGTTGACCAACAACTTAAAACAGTATTGCTGAAAAATCAATATGGATCAGGATTGCAATGCTTATTTTCTTCAAGCACTGCCCATTACATAGCCCTAGTAGTCCTTTCTTACGAAGTCATTGTGTGCTGTTTCCTCATCGTGTAAAAACTTTATATGTTTTCAATGTTTTTCACTTTTGTTTTACTAGTTTTTATTGTCATGTGTCATACAATAATCTTTGAGATTGCCTGTGAGGACAAGAAATTATATTCTAATTTTATTACTTGAATGTAAATCGTAAATCTTACTTGCCTAACTTCATGTCTAATTAATTACGATCGTAAAGCATCCAAATGAGAGTGTGTGGTTACTCCATTCAATTTTATTTATTTATTTATTTTCTAAGTTTTGTCATAAAATCAGATGCCTTCACATGCTTTTACCTACTGAAGCAATTACCATTTGTTTCCTAGGGAGCTGTAACTATTTGATGACTTACAAAGAAAAACCTGTCTACCCTTTTTCTTTCATACCAATTACTGTACTTGGCAGTTTTGTTGGGGAAGCACTAATGCATGAAATTGATTCAATTGTCTCATTCAAATGACCGTTTGAATATCACTGTATCACCCCAATTTATATCTTATCTGTAATATGCAGTGTCTTTTGCGTACAGCTAAAAAAATGTGTTTAACTTAAAGACTGATATCAGAGACCCTAATAAAACTTAATATATATATATATCTCATTGACTTCATTAGTTGTGACTGATTTACTCTCACCCTTTGAAATTGTATTATCAGATGCTCTCAATAGCTGCCAGTGTAGAACTGAAATCATTCTGGGAAACATCTTCCAGTTAAAATCTGCTGCATCAGAGTGTGGCAGATGACTGAAGACATGCCTTTATTCTGCACAATGTTTCATGAAAACATGTGATAGAATGGTAACACAAAAAGTTAAGTTCTGATCCTCACAGGATCCAAATTTTATTATAACATCACAATAAAATATTCTAGATGAACAAATGTTTTCAATCTAAATCAATGAAATACAAACAAGTTTTCACACACACATTGGAATAATACAAGTTTTATAGGTATGCAGACATTTCATTACAAGCTATAATGCAAATTAGCAAAAATTGGAGATCAGAGATCAGTCTTCACCAGCAGGAATTGCATCTTCTAATCTCTTGATGAACTTCACTCTTAGTTCTGTGACATTGTCACCTTTGAGTTGATCTTGGACAAACCAAGATGTAACTTCCATTTGCACCTGTAAAAATTTGAATTGTTTGTTGAAATGCATAGTCCAAGGCATTATCATTATAATTATTAATGACACCCATCAACAACGCTGACAAATGAACTGAAATACACACCATTTCACAGGCTCCTCTTAGCACACCAGCCAATATGTTACAGTATTTGAGATTTAGGCAATGGTCTGGAAGCTCAACAAACTCTGTCAATGGGTTCGACTCAAAGACCAAAGAAAATTCGTCACCACCAGCACCCCAATTAGTAATTTGAGGTGATACACCAAGAAAAATGCGAAAGCCAGCCTGCAAGAAAAGAAAATTGCTTTCAGTAAAAACTTTCAAACGAAAACTCTTTTAAGGAGACCAACGCCACTGTACTGTTCCTTTACCTGTATCTTCTCAGCAGTATCTTTGAAGTCGTAGCATCTGCCTGATCCAGTGCGAGCAAGGTAGTCTTCTATTAGACGAATCCCAATGTTGTATCCCATCCGTTCAAGCTGCTTATTGACCTCGTCAACATTTTCATAATCTTTCAGCAATTGAGCCACTAGAGTCCCATATGTTAAAGTAAAAAGCTCTGAGTTCTGAAAAACAAGCAAGACAGCATTGTAAAAGATGTTAATTATTTTTCAAACGAAACAGTTCGTTTTAGATAAAATAATGGGAGCTACAAAAACACCTCCTTTGATGCAAATACAAAAGGGGCTAATGAACTATGAACGTACCACTCTTTTGGCGTCTAGTCTTGCTCCTTGCCTTGACATAATGGAGATGTAAGTGGTCCACGAAAATTACGACCGCTTTAGATGATCTACTCTTGGACCAATATTTACCAACATGAACTCTGAATGACAGTTCAGGATGGATAGGTTAGTCGCACGTCGCACTAGGCTCCGCTCGGCTTGTTCTTCGCCAGCTCGATAGATGGCGCCACAAGCGGTCCGTCGTCCGTCCCAGTGCATTATGGGCAAGCTATAGAAGTTGCCTATGTCCCAGGGCGCATGCACATGCTTGTTCTTTCTGCTGCTTAGTTTTCTCATGTAACAATTTTGTTCTTTTCGTTATAAACTTTAAGATTAACAGATTCTCCTGTTCAGTACTGTTAAGTGAGTGAGTATGGGTTGACTTTAAGCTGTGTCTCAATGCATGTCTGTGTCAAAAGAAGGACGTTTTATTAGATTGTTTGTGTTGCTCCTAACCCGCAAACAAATCAATTAGAGAATAAGAGAGCCGCGCGATCCCGATGAACCTGACCCTGGGCTCTGGGCTGCAGAGATATCAGGTCCATGCGTGGCCTGAGTCCGGTTGCTCAAACCCGTTGCGACACCGTACATGTCATCGCTGTCTAAATCCTCGTCTCATATTTTCAACTTTTGTAATTTTTTCACAGTTTCATCATGGTTCACAGTGGGGATAGCAGAAGTTCTATTAAGGATGGAGTTATTGACTTCACTGCAGGATCTTTGGGTGAGCAATCAAACTTTTCAAGATCTTTGATCTGGTTGCCAAATACTTTGTCTTGTTTACATTTTGATTTAACTAATTTCAGGGGGAGTTGCTCTGGTGTATGTTGGACAACCACTAGACACAATTAAAGTGAAAATGCAAACATTCCCTAAACTTTATAAAAGTATGTTTGATTGTGTTAAACAAACTGTTGTCAAGGAAGGTTTTGTGAAAGGTCTCTATGCGGGAACTATTCCAGCCATTGTTGCTAACGTAGCTGAAAACTCAGTGCTTTTTGCTGGCTATGGTGTTTGCCAGAAAATTGTCGCCAATTCAACAGGAGTTCAGGTAAATAAAATAATCTGTTTTGTCTGGCATGCATCACCTTTCGTATTTGTCAAACTTACTGAATATTGTTACAGAGTATTGAAAAACTGAGTGCTACCGCAAACGCTTCTGCAGGCTGCATGGCAGCTTTCTTCTCCTCCTTTACTCTTTGTCCTACTGAGCTCATAAAGTGCAAATTACAAGCAGCTCGAGAGTTAGCTGTATCCTCTGGCTCCCAACTGGTGGGCATTTTTGTTATCTTTTAATGAAGTACTTGTCACATAGGGTATTTTGCCTTTTCCAATTGTGTAATTATGGTTTCAGGCTAACATTGAAAAAGTTGGTCCATTTCGACTAACGCAGCAGGTAATTGCTGAGAGCGGTGTTAGAGGTCTGTTTAATGGCTTGGGCTCCACAATTGCTCGTGAAATGCCTGGATACTTTGTCTTTTTTGGTGGCTATGAGTGGGCCAGAGAAATGTTCACTAAGCCAGGAGAGACTAAGGATACTATAGGTATAGTAACTCATCGTACAAGATTTCTATTTTTAATTTAAAAAAAAATTAAAGCGAATAACTTAAACCTTGCACATCGGCATTGCAGGACCTCTGCGTACCATGGCTGCTGGAGGAGTGGGCGGAATGTCATTCTGGCTCGTAACATTCCCCGCTGATGTTATTAAATCTCGCATACAAGTTTCTAATCTTACTGGTAATCTGTACACAGTTGGTCTTGACATAGTTCAGAAGGAAGGTAAGCAAAACTGTACAAATGCTCTTCAATTTAAAAAATGTTTGTGCACTTGTTTGCATTTTAATTTTGTATATGCTTCTTTAGGTGTATCAGCTCTTTACAATGGACTTCGACCGACTTTACTGAGAACATTCCCTGCAACTGCAACATTATTCCTCACCTATGAATATTCGAAAAAGTTCATGCATGAATTCTTCAGTGACACCTCTTCAGACCTTCTCAATTCTATTTAAGTGGGTCCTGGCTCTGATGAAAATATCCCATGTTTTTTTATCTTGCTTTGTAAATTTCAGTTTTTGACACAAGTTTCATTGCATTTACTCATCCTTTTTCTTTCTGACCAAGATCTCAATCTTTTGAGAGTAATTTTGTGATTGATTTTTTTTCTCTTTCCCCAGCTATGAAGCTACTTGTTTACCTAGAGTTCCTATTAATAGTCTATGCTGGCTTGTTCAAATAAATAAGTCTTTTGTAAAAGTAATGTCCATTGATTCCATCAGCCATATTTGTAAAGGCTTGTTCAGACAGTTTCCTGCAGATGTCTCTATTCAGATTGTATGTTCTACTGACTCGTTTCTGTTCAGTACCAAGCTCAATAACCTACCCTACCTTGATGTTTCGGACCATGTTTACTGGTGAGATGTTAGGCTTGGAGCATCTCAATTCTTCTGGTTTATTGTAGCAAATGCATGCTTCAGCTCCCATGAATCTCATATCATACAACATAATGAATGTGGAAGAATAGGTTTACATTCATTAATATGTTTGAGAAATACCTCAGAGTTCAATAGCTTTGCCAAAATTGTGATAATCTGTGTTGCTCTGTAGTATACCTTTTGAGAAAGTGAACACAGGCCAATCACTCTCTTTTTCATGAATTATAAATTTCCTTTCCCATTGTTTGTTGACCAACAATTACGTATTATATTATGTGATGGTTCCCTTGAATCAATTCTTCCCTGCATATTTTTATTCCGTTCTCTTTCATTGGGTCCAATACCATGCTCCTATCTATCACTTTATCATATTGTATTCAAAGATGGAGTTTGAAGTGCATCCTTCAAGATAAAATCTGTACAATTTAGTAGCTACTGGTACTCATTTCCTCTTTTGATGTGATGTATCTCAAGTTATTGTATATTATGTATTAGAACAAAATCATTTAATTTTTCTTTAGCAAAGTGTGCCGACAAAATAATTTTTTGGTGTCTTTCTAATATTTTCTGATTATTGTCATTTTATTGGCTGTGATATGTGAAACATGTCTTATCATAAGTATGCCAAATTATTAATTTTTAAATGGACGTTATACACTTATTGAATCATTTTATCTACTCTTTCATCCAAGTTGGAGTGTCAGGGCCACGTCCAAACATCTGTTTGGATATATCTTCTCAGGATTATTATACAAATTGTTTTGAGTTTGAATATTTAACATTCTATGCATGTGGCTTTGGCTGACAAGTTTAGACTTATTTTTTGAAAGCTAAATATTTAAAAATCTGAGGAGTATTGCTCAAGTGTGAGTATGTTGTTACCTTTCTACAGATATTTTTTATTGTTGTTGAATTTTATTGATTAAGCGGAGTATACAATTCACTTGTACCTATGATAGTCATTAGTGACCTGTGTCTTCCAGTCAGTACAAATGTTAGATCAGTGTTATTTGTCTTGTCTTCCATGTTTGCTCTTAGTGTGTTGAGCACTATTGTGCTCAGTCAGCCATTGTAATGTGTCTGTGCTATTGTGTAAACTGCTACTTTAAGACATATTAAAGAAAGGTAATCAATGATTTTGTTTTGATTGTTCTCTCTTTCCTGCCCTAATTAAAATAGTAGAAATCACATCAATTTCAATAGTCTTTTATTTTTTTACTAAAATTCTTAACTTCTACAAAATTACAAATATCTTACGACTATTTCATGCTCTTAAAATAGAAGGAGTGTCAACATATTTAAAAGTGGGTTGGGTTACCTAATCCCCAGCCACAAAGCGCTGGACTAAGCAACGCCCTTATCAGTGCTGGTACATTGAGAACAAAATGAGAACCAACGTCTACAAAATGCTGTTTGCACAAGGCAGCATTGCCGAATTGCGTAATCATACCGAACTGGGTCAGGGCTGTTCTTTTCAAGGCAAGACAGCTGATGAAGTCTGAACACCTCAGCTGATCATGGGCTTCCATTACCCAGAGGACGTTCGCGCCATTACTCGACGTAGGCCTTCCCTCGAAGATGAACGCCAGTGAAGGTCCCCATCCCGTTTCCTCCATCGCCGCAAAAATGATGTCGACGCACACTTGACATTCCATTCCTCGGCTGGGATGATCACAGATAGATACGAAAAGTCTAACAGTCTCCCTAACAGTCCTGGTGGCGGCGGTGCGGAGAGCCACACACGTGTGAAGGGCAATCTGGCATCAGATCTATACACGCCGGAGTGCCGCTTGAGATCTTTCTTTACAGAGTTAGTGCGACACCCTCGACGTCGTCGCATGCGCCATGCAGACACGAGGCCCGCGACGTCCTGCCACATGGAAAAGCGTTTGCACAGCCAAACTGCGGCCTGAGCCTGAGGCCGCGAGTCGCGACAGAGTGCGGGTCCTCAGGTTTTGGCCGCGGCCGAGCCGTTGAGGGGCTTGAGCTCGGTGGACTGCTTGGCCTGTGCCGGCACGTGGAGGCGCGCGGCAGCCTCGGCGTCGGCACTGTCTAGGGCGACGCGTTTCCGGCCCCTGAAGTAGTCCTCGATGTCCTGCAGGCTGCGGCCCTGCGTCTCCGGCAGTGCCAGCGCCACGAACAGCGTGCCCAGCAAGGCCATGGCGCCGTACAGGAAGAACACGCCGTGCCGGCCCAACGCCTGCATGGCGCCGGGGTGCGCCTTGACCACCGCAAAGCTGTACAAGTACGCCGAGCACGTCGTGAAGCCCCCCGCCGCGCCGCGGAACCGCGCGGGGAACACCTCGCCGATCATGGCCCACGGCAGCGTGAGGAAGCCCAGCGTGCTGGCCAGGATGAAGGAGACGAGCGCGGCGGCGGGCAGCCACGGCCCCGGCAGCAGGCCGGCGTGGTCGCCGCGCGACTGCAGCAGCAAGTGCGTCGCCAGCGCCGTCATGCACACCGCCATGCCGGCGCCGGACACGATGGCCAGCGGCCGGCGGCCCACGCGGTTCGACAGGAAGCCCGTGACCAGGGTGACGAGGAGGCGCGCCACGCCGATCAGCACCGCCACCAGGTACGGGTCCGCGGCCACGCCGGCCTCCACCACCATGTCCACGGCGTAGAAGATGACGACGAACACGCCGCTGAGCTGCTGGAAGAGGAAGAACGCGTTCATGATGAGCAGCGGCTTCCAGCACTCGGGGTGGCGCAGGTCGCTGAGCACGCCGCGGAGCCCGCTGGACCTCGCCGTCGAGGGCTTGGGCCGGTTGCGCAGCATGCTGGCCAGCTCCTCGTCCACGTCGCCGGGGTGCGCGAGGCGAGTGCGGGCCAAGGCGGTCCTGGCCTCGGCCAAGCGGCCGCGGCCCAGCAGCCAGACGGGGCTCTCCACCACCACGGCGTACACCAGCACGGCGGACAGCAGAGGTAAGGCCGCGCACACCACAGCCACGAGGCGCCACGACGGCAGCACAGCGCCGATCACGTACACCTGCGGAAAGGGTTCGGGGTCACGGGGGGTCGAACCAGGATCCAGCCAGAGAGCGGCGGACCGCAGACTGACAAGCTGCACTCACTGTCACGATGCCGAGAGAGATGGCGATGGAGGTCCAGGTGACGAGCATGCCGCGCAGCTGCTTGAGGCCGACCTCGGCGACGTACACCGTGCCGGGCACGGAGCCCATGCCGGTGGCGAGGCCGGTGAGGATGCGGCCGAAGTACACGGCGCCGAGGCCGTGCGCCTTGCCGGGCAGGCCGAGGCTGTCCGCCGGCACGGCCAGCAGCAGCCAGCCCAGCAGCGCGGGCACGTTCTGCCACAGCAGCGCGGGCCGACGCCCCAGACGGTCCAGCAGCCAGCCGCTCAGCAGGCAGCCCACGGGGGTGGCCAGCGCCGACACTCCGGCTGCAAGACAACAAGTCAGTCAGGCTCGCTCCCTCAGCTCCGCCTTCCAGCCGCGCCCCGGAAAGCTCACCTATCCAAGAGGCCTCCTCGGCGTTGACGGACATGGTGGCGTTGGGGTGCCGCATCTGCGGCAGCGCCACTGCGGAGAAGCCCAGGTTGGCTCCGGCCGAAATGCCGCCCATGTTGGCCACCACGCCCAGGCACACCTGCGCACCGCACCGTGTCAGACTGCTGGTCTTCCAAGAGGGGCGGATCCGCTGTCTGCCACTCACCTGCATCAGCAGCAGCTTCCAGTGCGGCGTGGGGGAGGCTTGCGCCGATGCATCGTGTCCCTTCTCGGCCATCTCGTCCTTCTCCTTGCCCGGGATGCAGCAGTCAGGGGTCCACTGCACCTGTGGGCAGAGGGGTTGGTTAGGAGGCCCATGGCTGATTGTCATCCACAACGGTTATTGTTATTGTTTTTGTTTGAGGAGTGATTCGAGGAGTGAGTCGACGTCACTGCGCCATCGCCGCGTCGCCACTCGGAGGCTGGTAAGCCAACTGTCTGATCCCTGGCTTATCTCCCGCCAAGATCACTATCAAGGATTGTCCCGGGGTCACTTGCTCGAAGGACGAGACGCATCCTGGTGCGTCACGGTCTGGGCTTTGGCTTTATCGTGAGGGCTCAAACCACTCTAAGGCCGTTTTAGCGAACCCTACGGAGCGGAGTGGCCGATGGATCCGACAAATTTCGCTGGCCGCTGTGTTCTGGTTTCTGTTCTCATCGCTGTGGCTCCACGAGAACGGTACGTTTGCTCGGTAAGCGGCGGCCCTCTTTGAGCTAAACAGCGCGTGTTGGAGGCCGAGCGCCTGTGAGGTAGGCCATCCGCTCCCCACGCAACACACGGGTGCGGAGACGGTGGCCTACCTTGCCCCTGTCGTCTTCACAGGCGCGAGGTAGGCCACCGTCTCCACGCCCGCGTGTTGCGGGACGAACGAGTGGCCTACCTCACAGGCGCTACGGACGGTCAAGAACATTGTTTTAAAACGCCGCGACTCGAAAGGGTGCGAATCCATGCCGTCATCGTCTCATCGGCTCGCAGTCCGGGGCAGTCGAGTCACGCCCAGCCGCTCGCTTGGAGCTGTTTGGAGCGTTCCAGTCGTTCCAGTGAGGCCACTCCGGGGATCGCCCGGTGAGCTCACCGAACCCAGACCCGCAGGGCACGGCGGCACGGCGGCACGGCGGCACGGCCAAGGACACGGCGTCACGGCCTACCTTGGCGCGCAGGGTCTCGCCCACGCCGCCGATCTCCTTGAGGACCATGATTGCTGTGTTGGGTGTGTTGGCCGCCGGGCCGCCCTCACGAACTGAGAACTACCGCTCCCATGCCGGCCCTACATTTATATGGCGCCCCGGCTGTGGCGCCCTTACCGCCCCCTCCCCGCCCCCTCCCCGCCCCGGCCACGCATCCAGGAACTGGCGCTAATCAGGACGCTGCGACGCCGCGTCTCGCGGAGGTCTCGGTCGGTGCGCCGCGGCAGACTCGCCGCAAATCGCGGGGAACTGCTTTGAGAAGCTGGCGAGGAAAGTAAACAGGGCGCGACTGGCCCACTAGTACACCGGGCATGCGGCATGCCGACGGCGGCGCGCCACTTCAAGTGTGGTGGACATTATGCAATTTGTTTCTGGAACTATGACTTGCGAAAAGCCCCGCCCTGAGTCGCGGGCGGATCGCGTCGAACCTTGACTGGCGGGACTGAGTAACTACACTGTGTCCCTGGCACGCTTCTACACTGCACGGCGGCAAACAAGAACAACGCGCCTCAAATCCGCGCGGCCCGTGCCGTGCGGCTAGCCGGCCGTGATAAGGAAGTAGCGAAGTGCGTGCCCCTGAGTCGCTCTGTTTCTCTCGCACCTCTACGTGATGCTCTACACAGAGCGACGAAAGCTGTCCTCGGACCTCTCGACCGGCCGCACCTCAAGAGTTCCGCTTCAGTGGTTTTCCCGCAGCATAAGACGCATCTTGAACGAGAATTTGGATTTGCAGTGAAGGACGCGCGGGGGTGGCTTTGGCTCTCGGCTCCACTTCCCCTCCCGGGGTGCTGCGGTGCTTCGGTTCGGCGGCCTCGGCGAAGACGTGTCGAAAGGGTTGCCTGCGCGGCGGGGCGCTGGCGTGCTGGCGCTCTCTCCGTTCGCCGTTCACTCCTCGCGGCATCGCGGCTGGTGTTATCACGCGCGAAATGCCGAGAACGAGGACCTGCGAATTTTTACGACCGCCCTGCTTCTTCTTGATAACGGAGAGTGACCCGAACCATCTTTACCCTTCCACCGCGACGCGGCGCGCGTTTTTCGGAGGAAAGGCTTTTCCCGAGCGGCGGTGATGCCGGTTGCTCGGAAAGGCCGTTTCCATTCCATCGCCGACCCCCCGCGCCCCCTCCTACTGCACTCGCATTTGCATCGCATGCAGCGGAGTTTAGCGGGACCGCGGTTCCGGCCGGCAGGCCTGCTTACAGTGGTGCGGCACTTCGGCAGCGAGGCGCCGCCGAGCAGGTCAGCGCCGAGATGCGAGGATGGAGGATGCGCCACGCGGCCGGCCGTTCAGGTGGTCCGCGGGCAGTCCGGGCGCCGCACTCCCGCTGACGCACTGTACTATCCCGTCCATCAGGTGCCATCAGGCCACCACGCCCTCCCACTCCAGCCAATCGCAGGAGAGCTTTTGCGGTGGAGGCGGAAGCAGTGGGGCCGGCGGAAGGGGGTCTTGACGTCGCTAAGCTTCGCGAAGCATGCCCAGTCTCCAAGCAACGCGCACACTGCAAGAGCAGCATTAATTCGGAGACACGTGTGCGCCAGCTGCCGGGGATAGGATCGGGACGCGCGGCTGTGCCTCGCGGACTCACGGCCTCACCGGCAGCGTCGACAAGGTGGCGCGGAGGAGCCTGCCGTGGCGATCCAGGGCGCGCTGGTCCAGGGCGGCGCGGCGGCGGCACGCCCAGCACGGACACGCTCTGTAGCAGCACGCGCGGCGCCGGGCGGGCCCGCGGCCGGGGCTGGCGTATCCGTTGGCGGGGGCTGCGGCCGCGCCCGCCGTCAGTGATCGCCGTTCCGGCGACATTCGACACGCGGGGACACCGCGAGGACGCCGCGACGCACCGCGACGCACCGCCAGGACCTTCAGGACACCAACAAGAGGCGGCTTGATCAGGGCCCGGTCCGAGCACCGCGTTGCGTGCACTGGTTTACACCCCGCGCACCGACACCGCCGAATTTGGCGAACGGGTGACCGGCCGGCCGGGGAAGACACTCTGGGCGGTCGCCGCCAGCACGGGCACTGGCCTGGCTTCGGAGGGACTCGGCGACGCGACGGGGTTGTGCGTGAGGGCGGTTTGGCGCAGAAGGGTCGCCGGGGTGAATCCCTGCCGGCGTGCTGGCATCACCCACACCGCTAATCGCATTGCTGCCGGGAAACAGGGAACCTAGGGGAACCCGACGCCACTGCGAGCTGCCCCGCCCCGCCCCACCCCGCCGGCATGCACTGGCACGACACCGCCAAAATTGGCGGACGGGTGGCCGACCGACCGAGGAGTCCTGGAGGGGGTACTCGGGCGACAAGTCGCAGAGACAAGTCGCAGAGACAAGTCGCAGCCAAAGCCAAGGCCTGGCCGATTGTTTGTGTTGTGCGTTCCGTTCCTTTTCCTTCCCTGCCGCAGCCTTGCCGCTCGCGACGTCGCGACCGAAGCCAAGGCCAGCCTCTCCTCGGCCACCTCGCCCGATACTCCCACGTCCAGACACAGCCCAGCGCGCCCAGCGTCCAGCATACCCGGCATGCCGAAGTAAGCGGCCTCTCCGCCTGCTTACCGCTCACAAAGAACTGGACCATCCCGGCCAGAGGCCAATGCTGCAACAAAAATGCCAAGGGAGGCTCTAAAACCCGACCGAAACGTCGTTCGGACGCCACATGGGACTTCCCCCGCCTCCCCGCCTCGAGTCACGAGGCGACGCGAAGACGCCGCGGCTGCTGCACCGTAGTCACACACAGTGCCTGCACAGTGCTTTCGTCGCTCTGTCTCTCTCGCACTCACAGGCGCTCGACGGGACGCTCAGCCTATAGCTTCCGATATCTCACCGGGCGACGCGTGGGGCGGGGCAGAAGGGAACGAGTCTCCTTCTATTCCTTGTATTATCTCCGGGAGGGAAAGACGCGGCGACGAACGGCTGCATCGTTATCAGGGGAAAGAAACCCGAGAGAGGGATGTCCATCAGCATTTCAAACGGTGGTTGGTGCAGCGCCGACGCCGCCGACGGGCAGCGCGTGGTTCGGACGGCAGACGGCACCGGTAGCGCATAGTCATGAGCCGGCCTGTCTGAGAACCATATAGCGCTCCCGTCACGACGTCGACATGAGAGAAACCGTGACCACCGCCACGAGATCCGGCGCGTCGAACCACCGCACCGATCCTCCAACAACTGGTAGAACGTCCGTCCGGAGGGCCCCCGAGAGGGGGGCGGGGCTGGAGGGCATAATCGGGCATTCTCGCTCCACGGAGATAAGAAAAATTCTATCGATACTACTCAGCTTTCCCCTTGGCTGCAGTCTGCTGACTCACAAAGAGGTCTTGTGACGGAAAAAGTTAAAGCAATATTTTTTTTCCCTTTTTTGTTAAATTATTGTACGACATGTGAAACTCTTTTTTCCTCTCGCGGTCTCAAACTGCCACGGCCACTCGGTCGGCGTGCGCTTTCTCCCTAAGCGCATCGGATTGGCGCCGAGTGGCGCCGAGGTACCGCGAGGTACTCGCCGGACTCGGACCTCTCGAACTCTGCACGGCGCGGACACTGCACGACGCCCGATGGTAAAACGTTGGCAAAATTTCAACGCCTCCGCTGTGTGGTGCTGTAGTTCACACGGAGTTTTCCTTGGAGTCTCCCGCGGCGCGGAGTAGCGCCGCGCTAAATATTCCCCGTTTTCGCGGAACCACCGCCGCGCTGATCCTTCCGAGCAGCGCGCGCGCGACGCCCCCGCACCTGTATTGACTATTTACCTTCGGATGAGCGAGTGTGTGTGTGGCGGCCGGGCCGGCCGGGCCGCGTAATGCAGGCAATGCCCGCCCGCCGCGCGGACTGTCCGCCACGAGTCTGATGTTATTCCTCTTGCGGGTCACGGCGGCGGGTTCGCCTGTCCGCCGCGAGTCCGGCGTGCACCTGCTGGCGTTGGCGGGGGCCTCGTAGGGGGCCGCCTCTAGAGTCCGATCCGCACAGCTCCGCGCGGGTCCTGGTGGGACTGGCAGACTGGCTGCAAGGCGCTAATGGCTCGGGCTAAGTACTGGTAGGCCTCGCCCTACGGGGCCTCCGCCGGCACGGGACTGGACGCGCGCCCATGGCCAGGCGACATCGAACACCCGCCGCGGCGGGCGCGTGAACTTGGCGACGACGGTCAGGGCCGCCATCCGAGACCCCCGCGGGCATCACTCCCGGCTCGCGGTCCTCGCGGTCCGCGGCGTCCTCAGGAAGGCCCTAACCTAACCTTACCTGGCGGTCCTGCGGTGAGCCGCGGCGTCGCGCTGGCTCGGCGGCGTCGGGCTGCGGCGCTGCGGCTCGGCGGGACTCAGAAACAGAAAACACCTGCCCCGCTCGGGCCGCCTTGGGCCGTCTCTGGCGCGGCCGAGTCGCGTCCGCGTCGTGCCGCGGTGGTGTTGTCCTGGCCGATGCCGGCTCCAGCGGTACCGGCAGCCACTCTGTACGCTCCCCTCCCACTTGTTGGGCTTGTCCAGGTCCCCCTCCTCCTCGCGTCTCGTGCCTTGCTTTTGCTTCTCGTCGCGAATCCTCCGCTCCGCGGCCGGTTCGCGCACCTGGTGGTTTGGCCGCGGCGGCTCGCACCTCGCACTCACACCGCCGTTGCATCCCCTCGACTTCCCCCACCCCTTTTCCCCGCGCGGCCACCTCACCTCCTGGCCTGGCGGCCGCCACACCCCTCCGAACCCCTGTCACCGCGTGGCACCCCACATCCTCCCTCTCTCACCCCCTCCCCTCGCTGCCACGACGAAAGCGACGTGTCGCCTCGGCAGCACAGCTTCAGCCTTCAGCCAACTTCGAAACTAAACAATCTCAAATATTTTGAGATCCATTTTTTCGAGTTGTGGGGAATCGTGAAATTCTCACAATTGCCATATTTCGATATGTAAGCTGTATCTTTAGACGCGGCTTGCCTGCCCTCAGACCTCTATTTGCTCAACAAAAACAAAACAAATTTAAGTATACAATTGTTTGCAAAATAAACGGAAAACACAGCACGTATTTGCCAGACTCTCGGCCTTTTCATAAACTTTGAAGAAGCGGATGAAGATAGGGAAAGCTGGGGAAGTCCCTAAATGACAAACATTGGCATACCATGAATCTTCATGTCGGTTGCGTTTGATAGAAATCGATTTTACAGCTCTTTCATGCGAAGAAAGACTTATATTTACATAGATCGAATACAATGGTAATCGTTCCACCAAATCGTGGGGACGCGTGTTATCGGCACTCGGGGTGGGGGAGAGTGGAAGAGGAGAGACTCTCTAAAGTGGAAGAGGGAAGGCCTCGCGTCGATGTGCTGGTCGACTAATCGAGAGCTTCGAGGAATCGATGAGTGGGGCAGAGAAGACAAGAGACAACGGGCCTTTTAACCTATGATTTGAAATTATGATTCAATGGTGTTTTGGATTGCGTCTGATGCTCATCTGATCACAGTTTAACGTTAATCTGTGTATTCATCTGTAAGATTGTGGCAGCCTTTGTTTAAAGATGGTGCTGGGGTACTCTGTCAGCCACCTTTTCCAATTTCCAGTTGAAAAAGTTGTGAAGGCTCATTGTAAGTCTTACAATGAACGAAAAGATGTTTTAGAAGTGAAACAGGTGGAGAATGACAACGGTATGGACTGACTAAACTTTTTTATCTTAAAATATTCTAGTTTTTCTTCTCAATAACATTTTTGTCTCCTATTTGACTTAGATGTCCAGGGTCTTGAATATTTTAAATGGTTCATAACTACGTTAAATCCACTCCCAAGCATCATTAGAAAGGTAAAAAGCGCTAGAGACCAAAATAGCAAATAATGATTTCTTGGTTTTTTATGTTCCTTGTTCTGAAAGCCTTCGGTAATCAATTTGTTTTACTGTTCTGTTCTCATTTTTGTTCTCCAGATGGGTAGAATGGATGAGCCAAATATCCAAATAGAAGAAGAATTGTGGATTGACAGCCCTGGCAGGCGCCACTGGCTCAGGCAACAAAATGTATCATTCACAGATAACATGACAATACAGAGGAACTCCACTTTTGTGCCTGATTCTCACAATCCAGAGTGGTATGTCATCATCTTGTCAGTTGTTGGATTATAATGGTATAAGTAGAGCTTTTAACAATGTAAGCTTTGTCTTTTCAGGACTTGTTTTGAGCAAGCGGGAGCTGTAGACATGGGTAACCTTGGATTTATTGGAAAAGCTCTGGAACTACTTTACAAAAATGTGATGGAGACTGATGTTCGCCAGCAAATTGCATTGATTGAAGGGATTCTAGACAACAAATAGAAATACCGTGGATCCAAGCAGGTACCAGGTACAGACTACCTACATTGAGTCCAATCTTCGATGTTTATGGATATAATTTTCTAATACTAGAAATTTCCACGTTGGTGGTGGTTTCTGAATTCTGATAATGCTTCTGACTGTTTTTGTTGCTGTTGTATGTGTTTTTATTTTTTTAATTCATCAATTATGTGCCAAGTTACATTCCTGTCAATCAGAAGAAATAACTTTAAACTCATTATATTTTTTTATTCAATTTAAAAAACAACATCTAACTTGGTACTGAATTATGTTGTACTCTATTGCATATTTAATTACATATCATTTTAATGTTGTTTTGATTTTTTCTTTCTATCTCTTCTGACAACTCTACTGGCTGGTCAATTCTATCCACAGTTGGCAATTCTAAATTGAGCTGTTTACAAGACCATAGGAAGAATTCTGGTGGATCAGCTCTTAAAATCAAGTCTGAATTATCTTTTTTAAATCCATGCAGAGTCAATTCCTGGAAGTAACAAGTTTATAGAGAACCCGGAGTTGCACAAACTTTTGTAGGGCTACTGCTGAGTGCAAAACATTTTTGTGCTTACTTGGAGATGTAAATGCATTGGTATTGACCCTTCAGAACCACTTAGCACAGAAAGATGTTTCAGTAGAGGTGGTGGCAGTGCCTAGTGAAATAAGTTCGGTATAAACTAAGACAAATTTTTATCATTTTAAGTTGGTGAAGGGCCAAGGCTTACTTACTTTCACAGCTGGGGCAATCCATGGTTTTAACAAAACTGGTTTTCCAAACAAGGAACTGACTCTTGTTCCAAATTTTTTGTCACCCAATGCAGGGGATAGCAGAATATCAGATAAAAACACTCTTGGACAGTGTGCATGCTCTTGCCATGTTGATACTGACACCAATGAGGCCTGCTCACACTGCGCCACAACCTTGTGGCTAACTACTCCAATATTTACATCTCTTCTCTTCCTTTCATTCTCAGTCCATTTACGTACGATGTAGCACTGCACAAATTGAGCTACATGAATTTCAGGAGTAAGACTTAGAGATAAGTCAGTTTAACACCAATTTTACAGACTTACATGCTTTTGGTTTTCATGGTTTTGAATTTTGACAGCAAACCTTTCACTTCCCTCATCTTTCAAAGGGTGTCCGACAGTGAGTGCTAAAAAGGTTTGTTTTGGATCGTCAGAAAACAGAGCCTTAGATCTACGGATGGATTTGCTCACTTCTTCAGCTAAGGCAGCGTCTGCCACTAGTATAGTAATTCCACTGATAGATCTGTTAAAACAACAGAACAAGTTATGCCATGTTAAATTTCACCAGCGCATCTTTATACTTATAGATTACAGGTACTAACTTTTCGGGCACTTTGACCAACTTCAAATATTTATATCCTAGTTCTTTAGCTAAGAATGGAAGAGTATGGTAAATGCTGCAATCCTCTTTTGAAGAACCTAGATCTGGTGGCTTATTTATCGCCACGATACCATCTACATTGAGAAAACAAAAACAATTGAATTAGCTTCAAGCTGGCACGTAAACATTAATTACAGAAATAAGAAATTGTAAGAAACTTTCACCTTTATTGTAAATGATTTGTCCTAGTAAATATTTAGAAGTAGATTCAACATTCACATATTTCCACCTTCGAACATAAGTGTGTTCTTTCCGTCTCTGTTCATTTTCAGCTGCTGCATGAAAAGAACTAGAGCTTTTAGAAACTGAATCAAATTTGTTTCGTAGCGGGGCACAGTTGCAGAGTAAATTTCGAAGTTGTGATGATTTGATTGTCAATGTCGATGACATTTTTTTAACTCTATCTAATACTTGAAGGACCACTGTGAAGAGAAAAATTATAAATATGACTTAGTCTATTCAACATTTACATTAAGTGTTGTGATCAATTAACCTGCAAAATCACATGAGAAGTTGGAGGTAACTCAAAGAGAGATTGACAGGAATCATAAGGAGTCTCGAACAAAATCTCAGACCCACGTAGTCAGTCTCCAGTTCCTAAAGATGTTGAGAAATTCACGGAAAAATTCAAAACAATGTAAATTTAAAAGAACGAAACCAAATCAACGTTCCCCACTGGTATCGTGTGAATAAACTGGACGGCTGTATACACACGCACATTCAGTATTTGCACTCGGATGTTTCTGCATAAGAGGATTTAAAAGACTCACGTTTCTTGCTTATGTCAGAGAAGAGGTACCTCTGACCTGACTACCGTTAAGTAACGTTGTTGACAGCAAGTCTTAATCCTAATCCTAGTTATTCCTCCGTGTTCTTCGTTTTCAACTATTCACGATGCAACACGACGACGTAAGTTGAGGGCCATCCACATGTCACGTTGGGCTGCCTCATCTGAGATTTATCGAAATGTTTACATTTAATTCAATTTGTGAGGGTGCTTGTAGTGACCGTATATTGGATTCTCTTTCATTTAAATCACTTTATGACCCTGTGATCCGTCACGTTTCATGTCAAGATACGTTTTGGCGTCCACGTGAAAGTTAGGTTATACCCACTGAAAAATTGTTTGTGTCTGTTTCCCTTCAGGTCGTGTGGAGTATCATCAACAAAACATTTTGCTCACACAAAGTCAAGTAAGTTAAAGTACTGACAGGAAATGTCGTTATGCCATGTTCCAATAGTGATAAAATTTGCACATCTATGAATTGTTTATTTACAGCACCAAAACCCAAAGGTTTTGTAGAAATGAATACAACTTGACTGGATTGTGCAGTCGAGCATCATGTCCTTTAGCAAACAGTCAATATGCCACCTGCAGAGAAGAAAATGGCATTATTTATTTGTATATGAAAACCGCTGAAAGGTAAGTTTTCCCTTGAAAGGATTCCAATTCAAAAACTTCCCTTCATTTATCTTAATGTTTGGAATTATCTGTCAACAGGTCGGCATTTCCTGGAAAATCTTGGGAAAGAATAAAACTGTCTAGGAATTTTGAGAAAGCAATTTCTCAGATTAATGAAAATCTTCTCTTCTGGAATAACTTTGTGAAATCAAAATGCAAACAGAGATTTGTAAAAATAACTCAGTACCTCATTCGAATGCGCAAACTCCGCCTTAGAAGACAGTTAGTAGCAATTTTCTATTGATTCTTTGCTTCTTATTTATAAAATGGGTTCTGATTTTGATTTTTGCTTGTCCTCCTTTAGGAAGAAGCTGGTTCCTCTTCAACGAAAGATTGAGAGGCGTGTGAATCGTCGTGAGGAGAAGGCTTTAGTCGCTGCTCGTCTTGAATCTGCTATTGAAAAGCAACTTTTGGAAAGGCTTAAAAAGGGCACTGTTAGTATAAGATTGATATGAATGACCATACTTTATTTCTGGTTAGAATGTTCTTTTAAAGGCTGTGTCCCTCTTTCAGTATGGAGATATCTACAATTTCCCTCAAGCTGCATTTGACAAGGCTTTGTCCAAAGAAGAAGTGGAAGAAAATGATCCTGAAGAAGAGGAAGATGAGGAGGAGGAGGATGACGAGGAGCTTGAGGTAATTTCTTGAATCATTTGATGCTTCCATTTTATTTCCTGTACTGTAAACATTGCTGAGATGGGATTTTTTTGTAAACTAATTCTTTACTGGTCAATTTCAGGAACTAGAAATGGAAAATGAACTTGATAATGGTGAAAGTGAATTTGTGGTGGCGGATACTGACAGTGAAGAAGAGGAGGAGGATGATGATGATGTTGGGGTAAGTTTTAACAATGAATAGATTGGTTAGTCTGAGAGAGAGAAAAAATTACTTAGTTAATTAATTTTTCTTATCTTGAATTTGCAGGCAAGAGAAAATGTTAGTAGTCCAGAGCCATCAGATGCATCAGATATTGAGGTATGTCTTTTGCTATCAAGTTGTGTGGAGTGTTGTGTTGGAGTCAGTTTTCACTGTACCTGGCTTTGTTGCAGGATATTGGTGATCAGCCTGGACCATCCAAAAAGAAGAAGTCGAAGAAACCTGCGACGAAGAAACCACGTGTGGAGATTGAATATGAAATTGAGTCAGAACCACAGTCCAGAAATAGAATTGCATCATAATTGTGTCATTGAAATACAATCATTTTGGGGGAATCAGTGTTTTCATTGTTCAGTTTTTCATATTTTTTTATTGAATTATGTGATAAACATTGAGGGATTGACATATTGTGGTTATAACTTCACACATATTGGGCCTGTTCGGTAATGCTGCTGGTTTTGTTTCGTTTGGACCCATTCAAAAAATTGTACATATATCTTTTTTTAAAGATGCATAAGGTAGAAGTTTGTGCGTTCTGTTCTCAGCCATATTAAGAGGTCAAAATAATGTGTTGTGGATCTTTTTTTTTCCTCTCCTTACTTTGACTCATCAGCAAAATGAGATTAATCTAGTTTTTAAATATGAGAAACATAAACATTTTCTTTGAACTAGAACCAAAATATGTCTCATGACTGATATATACTAAACATACAGTATTACGTACTCAAAATTTTCTACAATGGAAAGCATGTAAAACTAAGTTGGTAGGCACAAAAGTAGAATCAAAAGTTACAGCTCAGCTGAACTTGCAAAGATCACATGCAAAATACTTAAGTCAATAGTAAAAGGGGGGAAAAGGATGAAAATAACTATTTACAAATATTTGTTTAATAGTATGCAATTACACCAGTGTAAATGTAAACCATAGAATACATTCACTAACATTTGTGCAATCTTGGAACAATAAAACAACGACTAGTAGATAATGAGGAAGTTTATAAACTAGACTGGCATAAATACCACATACTGAAGTTCTGTATGTGGGAGTTTCTCAATCATAATACAGGGTATAAAATGCCTGCCTTCAATCAAAAAGTTCTGCAAATTCTGTCAGTAGGGTAGTTTTGAATAAACATATGATTACTTTTAATTCCATTTCTACAGGTATACAGGTATGAATGAGTTATCACAGTTAGCTGGCAGCTACCTTATCAATCGCATCGTATATATACTTATATGTGGCACACAAATAATTGTTGGTAGCAAATTGTCATTAAAAACACAATTTAATATCAGATACTGCTTTATCATGAGCAAATCTGCTACACCTTCATATCGCCAAAAGGAGAAGAAATGAAAAAAGCACGGCACAAAATTGCAAGATACTAAGAAATATGAAGGTGGAATGGTTCCTTTTCATAAGATAAGCTAAAAAGACAACAAAGAAAACTTTAAACAAATCTATCAACAACAATAAAGTTCAAACAAAAGAAATGACAGTAAATAAATGCATAGATTTCTATAGGATGACCATAGTTTGAGCTTCAGCATAGGAACTCTAAACAAGTTAAAACAAAGACAAGAAAATCTGTTAGAGATCAAAGTAGAGTTAGGCATGAAGCTCTCACATTTAAGAAAAAGTTCTGTTTGGGTGAGAAAAATAATGAAGGCACACCCAAAAATTTGACAGTAAGACTGTGATGAAAATTCAGTGATGATCAGTTACAAGTAGTACAACAAAAGGCTCACAGCAAATACATTAGTCAGCAAAGTTTTGACGAACATAAAAATGTAAATAATTGTGCTCTTTAGACTGATGAGTTGGCTGCACCAAACTTTTTTGTAAAGACAACCTCCACAAGAAGTCCTTGCTGTCTTCTCCTTCCGGTAATTCAGGAGATGAAGGAGGAACTACAACATCTGGGATATCTGAAACACAGGCATCACAAACATTTTTGTTACTCAGACATGTAGTTTTCATTTTTCAGTTCCAATTATGAGGAGTCCTACCAACCTGTGAAGGTGTCTTCTAAACGCTAGCTAGATGAGGACCACATCGCCACCCAGGTTGTAGGCCATGCCCAACGCATCATGAGCTGCATTTTGGTCCAAAGCCATACTGGCACTGCACAGGGGTCGGTGTGAGCCAGCACCTTACAGTAGTGCTTCATATAATCAGTGAGAAATTGTTAAGGATTCTTACACAACAGGTAAATCATTTAAAGAGGTAAAAGAAAACAAAATATTAAATAAGGGATTGGGAAATAACAATGCAGTTGGAAAGAATAATGCTCAGAAAGGATATTATAGTCCCCATGGAGGATGTCCACCATTTACATACAAAACATATGTAAATCCATCCTTACTCTTGCCATTTATGTAATAGTAGTATGGCAAAAAAGAGTGAAGCCTGGAATTTTGTTTGAAAAACAAGAAAATTAAATAAAAATTTTGATCAAAGTGTAGCTTTACAATAAGACAAGACCTTACTTAAATTGATGTCGTTGATAAAAATGAATTGCTGGTGTGTTGGTGGTAAGGACATGTAGGAACAGAGCCTTGCAATGAGTGTTGTTAATTGATGTAGTTGACAAATGAGATATTAAATTATCCAGTAGAACTGATGCTATACCACTTCGTCTGTAAGTTTGACTTACACCGAGGCTCAACAGATAAGCCACTAATGTGTCTTTTCCAAAAGTTGGGGCCAAAATGTCCACGTCCTGGAATATTGTAGATGAGGATCAAAAATTGTTTGTGCTGTAATTATCAGGAGAATCTGAGAAGCAGAAAAACTGTGTCTTCTTACCTCATCATTTAGCTCTGAGTGAGTTTTGATTTCAGCTACAATAAGACCGATAATGACCCCTTCATAGACAGCAGCCAGAGAGTAAAAACATGGGTTTGACGTGATCTCTTCATACCAGTAGTAGGGATAAGATATAGGAAACCAATCTGCACATAACGCCTGCACCTGAAAATAAGAAAAGAGAAATTATAGGGTATTAGAAAGGTCCAATTAAGTTGCACAAGTTCTGTAGTGAAGTTATAAAATGCTCAAAGCATACCTCTGGGATGTCCGCTGGACACAGGAATCTTAACTGTAAGTTGGTAAGTGTGCATAGCTTGCTGCATGGCTTTGGTAAATCTGCATACCTGTTAAAAACCAGAAAAGACATTTTTCACCATAGGCTAAGCGTAAGACTTTCGGGTTTAAAAATAATTAACGTCTCCTGGGGAATTTAATAAAATACCAGAGATAGTTTCCAAACACATACAGAGTGTTTTATAAAATATCTTTCAGCTAATACAATATCGAGATTTAAAGTAAATTAAGAAACGGTAGGGAGCTTTACAGTGCTTATGAGATTGATAAGGCTTAGAGGCTCCAACACTAGGTTATGATTGCACTGACAGCCACAGCTGAAAATCCTACCATATGATTCTCAAACGACAACAAACAGTGGAGAAGAGCAATTTACTGGCGCTGAAACGTTTGAATCGACTTCAAAACCACACAGTGAGACAAATTAAGAAGACATTGCAAAACATAAACAAATGTACATACCAATCAAACCCAGCCATAAATCATATAGTAAAGTGCAATATATCACAGGAATCAGCCTATCACGAGTATACAGGGTTTCTGGCAGCATCAAACGGGAATTGGAGCGGTGACTAGGCGGAGAGGCACCTCCTCAGCTTGCAACCATGATTAGCACTCTTCCTGACATCCCACATCGCTTCGCTGAGGTTACTGTTGTCCTTCTCTGTCCGACCGTCTGTCCGTCTGTCTTCGTCTTGCGCACTCGCACTCCCGTTGCTCCCGTTCCTTCTACTAGCGCTGTCAAATCGCCCCCGCCGTTGCCGCCCCTGCCCCCACCCCCGCGTGCTACGAGCAATATCACGCTGAACAGAACGCCTCTTGTCCTTCCCTCACCACATGGGCAATTGCGCGGTGAACTGCTTCCCGGATAATGTGAAACGAAGCCCTCGACCCGACGGGCAGGGCAAGCAAGAGTGGAGATGCGTTTTGCGTCCGCAGCAGCACTAGCTGCCCTTCGTGTTCGGGGAACCCCGGCCAATCCAGGCCAACCCAGGCCCGCGAGGCAGACGGAGACAGAGACAGGTGATCGGGGTTCGGAGTTCGGACTGCACTGCCCTGAGTACACGGCAGCACGGCACACGCAAGGTGCGTAACGGGACCCGAGGCGGGGCCTAAGTGCCTGTGGTCGCTCCGCTGCTCGACCCCCCCTCCCCCCTTTTCCGAACCCAGTCATCTCTCGTTTGCCCTTTCAAAGAGCATCATTCTCCCGTCGTTATCACAGCTAATCACTGCAAAAGCAGTTCAGCGGGGCACACCCACCGAACCCGTCGCTGTGACGTCGAGTCACGGTTCGACAAGGGTCCAGACGCGACCGAGTTTTTGTGGTTTTTAACTCCGCAGAGCGGTCGAATCGAACACCGATGCGCCGGGCCGTCAGGCCGTTGCCTGGCAATAATAGAAAGGGAAATCTAAATTTACAAGTGTATCAAAACCCCCGAAAAAAAAAAACCGAAAAAAAAAATTGAAAAAGGCAAAAGAAAATAGCAAACAAAGAAGAAATAAAGCTGAATTGAAAATCGAAGAGATCTGAGCCGAACACGATGGCACCGAAGCGAACGAGCAGTGAGGCGGTGAACGCCGTGGAGGCGGACAGAGCCAAGGGCAGTCGGGGCAGTCTGGGGGCCGTGCAGCGGTCTCGCTCGCTGCGCACCTCGGCCTCGAGGACCATGACGGGGACGCTCGCGGTCCGGGACTCGGTGCGCACGCCGCGGCCGCACCGCGGCGCCGAGGACGCCGAGGAAGACGACACGGAGGTGCGGGGCGGCAAGGCCGTGGTGCCGTACTCGTCTCCAGAGTCCGGCTTCAGGTACGGAGTCAAGTCCCACCAGAGGATGCTGAAGGATCAGTTCGACGCTGTCCGGGTGCGAGAGAGACAGGGACGGAATGGTCCTTCGGACCGGTGGCGTGACTGGGGCGGCGGTCTTCCTCAGGGGCTACACGTACGAGGTGAGCGAGGCCCTGAAGGACCTGGAGAAGCAGCGCGAGGTGAAGGGCGGCCTGATGGGGCCGCTGCGCGCCGTGGCCGAGCTGGAGCGCGCGCAGGAGCAACGCAACGAGGCCTTCCGCGCCTGGCTGTCCAACGTCATGAAGAAGGAGCGGGAGGCCGCCAAGCACGCCGCCATCACCGGTCAGCACCAGGACTCCGGAGACTCCTGCCGCGAGCGCCCGCAGACAGTGGCGTAGGCAACCCGGACGCGCGCGCGCTCGGCGGGGCGGCCCACGCCGCGCTCCGCAGGCGCTCAACGCTCAACCGCACTGCTTCCTGCTTCCAGTGCTGAAGCGGCGCGACCAGATGCTGCAGGAGGTGGGTCCGGACTGGTTCCAGCAGCTGTCGTGGGACCAGATGGAGACGGTGAACCAGCTGCAGGTACAACTTGGCGAGGTTCAGTTATGTCAAAAGTTCGCCAACTGTAAGGCTTCATTCAAAAATGTAAAAGATTGAACCGTAAGGGCAAGCAGTTGAGGTACGTTGGGGTTGTCGTCCCCGTGACCTTGCCCCACCCCCGCCCCCACAGGGGCTGCACCGCGCCGATGCCGACGAGGGCGCGACGTCGCGCGTGGCGCTGTGGTGCTGTCGGCTCGGCATCTCCCCCATCCCCAGCGCGCGCCAAATCACGCGCGCGCTCCGCGAGCAGCCCGAGGACCACGAGGCCTTCCTGCTGGCGCTGTACGCCGTCATCAGCCAGAGCGGCAAGGTGCCCGTGCCCGGGGACCCGCCTGCGCCCAAGCTGAGTGAGTGACGTGGGCCAGGCTTGTTTCGGACTCGCTGAGAGACTCGACGACGTCCCTCTCTGCAGGGACGGGCTTCGAGTACACGCCGAGCGAGCGGCTGCTGCTGTCCGCGCTCGCGCACCTGCGCCTGCCCAACGTCATCGCCAAGCTGGAGGAGCAGTTCGGGCCGCCGGAGAAGAAGCCGCGCTACTTGCGCGTCAACCCTGACGGTGAGGCCTTGCATCTTGGCACGCAGCGCGAGGGTGTCGTGGTGCGTCATTTTGAGGTTGCTGGCGGTGTCGCAGTGCCCCCGCGCACCGCGAGGCCGGAGCCCTACCTGTGGCCCTACCTGGAACCACTGCCGGTGCCGCGGCTGGACTGGCTGGAGGTGATGAGCGCCAACCACACGGTGCACGTCGAGAACCTGTACATGCGCGCGCACCTGCTGCCCAGCACGCTCATCAAGGAGCTGCAGTACAAGTCGCAGCCGCGCCCCGTCATCCCCCCCGCCAGCAAGCCGACGCTGAGGCCGGTGAGGCGTGTTCTTCGCTCTGTCTCTCCCACGCCCGTCTTGGGGTGCGCTAGGTGCGCCACAGGGGCGCGAGAGAGAGAGAGACAGAGCGACGAGAAAATTTTTGGAGTGAGCTGGCTGATGTAGTTTCACTGCCCAGGTCAGCATCTTTGATTGGCGTGTCAACAGGTGCGCTCCCGCAAGAAGCGGACCGCCGCCGCCGAGAAGAAGAGCAAGGAGGACGAACCTGCTGGTGCGAGTCCACGCGTCGACGCACAGGGGCTTGGCTTACCTCGTGTCGTACTGCTTCTTCATCCCGGCTGCTCTGGCTCCGCGACGCGATGCTCCCCTTGACTGAGATGACGGCGGTCCCCGCCGCCCTGGCCGGCCGGCCGTCGGCGTGGTGCACTCTACCGCAGTGCAGGCGGGGTGCGCCGCGTCATGCCCGCGCCGTGGTGCACAAGTGCCTCGGCGGCGATACCGGGCAGCCTGGGGCAGCGATAGGCCACGCCCCGTCGTGCGGCCGAAGTCCAGGCGGGGCGGCGGGGCGTGGGAACCGAACTGCGGCCGAACTGCGTCGTAACGCCGAGCTTCTCTTTCCACAGGTGTGCCGCCGCCCGAGGCCGAGGACGTAAGTAGGCGTGTTCGAACACCCGCGCCGGCAGGGTTCTCTCTCTAACGCCCAGCTCTAGGACGGCGACGCGGCGGAGGGCCCCGGCAGGGCGGCGCGGCGGGGCTCGGCGGGCCGTTGGCGCTCCAGGACGACGACGAGGTCTGCGACCACCACGGCCATGCGCTCCGTCGCCTCCTCCCCCATCCCGTCCAGAGCCGCGACGGACGCACCGCGCTCCAGGCAGCGCCGCGACGACGACAAGGAGGACAGCGCAGCGCCCGGCGTGGACCCCGCCAGTGTGGCGGTGAGTGAGCTGGCCGTCAAGCCGCGTGTCAAGCCGCGCCACGGCCAGGACGGCCAGGGCCTCGGCCAGGGCCGGCGGGCCTTGTTCAGCTCATTGAGCAAAGTGAACCGGGCACGCCGGGCACTCGCCTCCGCCGCCATGGAGCGCGTTATCCAAGCGCCGATGCGTGGCCTGGGGCCTGGCCGCCTCGGCCGCCGCGACCACCACTTGTGAGGGAGCTCGTCGTCGCGCGGTGCTCGACGCGGTGCTCGACGCGGTGCTCGACGCGGGCCGCGCTGCGTTCTGAGTAGATTTATTTAATAAGGACAGGTCCTTACAGTGACCCCTTTCGATTTCCGCGGTTGATGACTTGGCAGATTGCTTACCTAAGTAGATGTCCAAAAATAAAATATTAGGTCGCTCGAAGCCTTCTTGGCTGAGTTATAGCCAACTTTGTTTTTATTTCTTAAAAAAGCTGGGTATTTTGGGTATTTTTTATACGAGACGTACTTTTTAAGCTAGGTGGATGAAAATTGGCCCTGTGATGCAAAATTAAATAAGGAACACGATGGTGCCCTCAGAATTGATCTACGACCAATACTTACGGAGATATCGGCCTCCAAAGTTGGAAAAAAGAGCCAAAATGTAGGAAAATACCCAAATCTTGGGATTTCGGAAACTATTGGACCCATTGACACGATTCAACGCTCATGTTGTAGAAAAAAAGCCACGGAATCCAATGAGCTCACGCGCAGGTCCGTGAGACTAACCGTTCAGGAGATACGCGGCTCTAAAGTTTGCCATTTTTCGTAGGGTGCCGAAAACGTTGTTTTTGCACCTTTTCAGACTGTTGAGCCTTCAGCGACACGTATCCTGCCTGCCTTCGCGAAGACCTCGGCTCAGGGGAAGGCGATACTGTGGTGAAACGCAGCCCACTGTCAGATTAAAGAAGAGGCTCTCAGAAGAGGTGCTCAGGAAGAAAAACACCGCTGAGGGAGCCACCATCCACGCAGTGCATTAGCCCGCCCCGATTGAGCCCCGATGACCTGAGAGCCCGGGCCAGAGCCCGACCGAGCCCGACTGGAGCCCGGACTGAGTCCCGATGGCCCCAGACCTGACTGAGCCCCATTAGACCCCATTTAAGCCCCGCGCCAAAAAAAATGTTGCAATTTGACCCAAAAACTTTACAAAAAACTGTTCAAAACGGAAGTTTTTTTGGCGTGGAGCTCCAGTGCGGCTCGCTCAAACTAGAGACCTAGAGACTGACGGAGAAGCGCGGGCGCCGTCGCGCGCTGGCGGCCATTTTGTCTGGGCCGGCCCAGAAGGGAGCGGGGAGGGGACAGGGAGCGGAGCGGAGAGCGCTGCGGTAAGGTGGGGCGAGGCGGAGCGCAGCAGACAGCTCGAACAGTTTTTCGGCCACAGCTCGAAAACCGTTCAAGTAAGAGTGGTACAGTAAGCGAGCCGATTGTAGCTTGTACAGAGACCTACAATCGGCTCGCTTACTATACCCCTCTATCTAGAACGGTTTGGAAGCTGTGACCGAAAAACCTTCTCCAGCTGTTAAGTGCGTGCGCCGCCATTTTGTCCGGAATATGAGACAGCTCTCCGGCCGCGCGCGAGGAGTATGAGAAACTGTTGGTGCGATTATCGGCGCCCGCGCTTCTCCGTCAGTCTCTAGGTCTCTAGCTCAAACCAGGCCCATGCCGGGGCTCTGACAATCGGGGCTCAATTGGGCTCGGGCTGGGCTCGACCTTGACACCGACGAAGTCTCCACCCATAGGCCCTGACCCGGTCGGTCTAGAGGAATTCGAAAGCCCCGGCAGAGTCCAGCCGGGTCAGGCCACGCTAGCTGTTAGAGTGGTCCGGCGGAACCCGCCCCAGTCCGGACTCACGGTGTAGGGAGACCACTCATCGTGTGGTGCCCACCTACACCGTGGCCTGACTTGGCCGGACTCGGTCGGACAGTGCCGGGGCTTAGCCAAGACTAGCCGGATAGGACGATCGGGTGTCGGCCAGGTCTGGGCAGAGTCTGAGCCGGGTCGGGGCCGAGTCGGGTGGTCGGATCGGGGCCTATAGGCCAGGACTTCATCGGAGTCTAGGGCAGGTGGCAGGTCATCGGGGCTCAATCGGGCCAGACCACTCTTACAGCTTGGCCTGACTCGGACGGACTCTGCCGGGGCTTAGCCAAGGCTTAGCCGGATTCCTATGGGGTGACCGGGCGGGTCGGGGCCTATGGGCCGGCACTTCGTCGCAGCAAGCCCCGGCCAGAGCGAGGGGTCAAACACTCTGATAATCGTGTGTACACTTCTTCCAGTAATCATTAGTAATTACACGCCAAAACTGGCTATTTTCGCTGTTGTTATCGGATTTGGGATGGGGGGGTGTCCTATGAAAATAGGCCAAACATGCTCTAGGCTGGCCAAAAAAATAGAGTTTTTTGAGTATTTTTGTAGGTTATCACTGGTAATCAGTAATCCTGTGTACACTCCTGAGCTGAGTGATGGAGCCCTCGGGCCAGAGCCCAGCCTGAGCCCGACTCGAGCTCCGATGGTCAGAGCCCCGGCATGGGCCCGGTTTGAGCGAGCCGTACTTGAGCTCCACGCCAAAAAAAACTTCCGTTTTGAACAGTTTTTGTAAAGCCTTTGGTCAAATTGCAACATTTTATGTGGCGCGGGGCTTAAATGGGGTCTAATGGGGCTCAGGTCAGGTCTGGGGCCATCGGGACTCAGTCGGGGCTACGGGGCTCTCAGGTCATCGGGGCTCAATCGGGGCGGGCTAATGCACTGCGTGGATGGTGGCTCCCTCAGCGGTGTTTTCTTCCTGAGCACCTCTTCTGAGAGCCTCTTCTTTAATCTGACAGTGGGCTGCGTTTCGCCACAGTATCGCCTTCCCCTGAGCCGAGGTCTTCGCGAAGGCAGGCAGGATACGTGTCGCTGAAGGCTCAACAGTCTGAAAAGGTGCAAAAAACAACGTTTTCGGCACCCTACGAAAAATGGCTAACTTTAGAGCCGCGTATCTCCTGAACGGTTAGTCTCACGGACCTGCGCGTGAGCTCATTGGATTCCGTGGCTTTTTTTCTACAACATGAGCGTTGAATCGTGTCAATGGGTCCAATAGTTTCCGAAATCCCAAGATTTGGGTATTTTCCTACATTTTGGCTCTTTTTCCCAACTTTGGAGGCCGATATCTCCGTAAGTATTGGTCGTAGATCAATTCTGAGGGCACCATCGTGTTCCTTATTTAATTTTGCATCACAGGGCCAATTTTCATCCACCTGGCTTAAAAAGTACGTCTCGTATAAAAAATACCCAAAATACCCAGCTTTTTTAAGAAATAAAAACAAAGTTGGCTATAACTCAGCCAAGAAGGCTTCGAGCGACCTAATATTTTATTTTTGGACATCTACTTAGGTAAGCAATCTGCCAAGCCATCAACCGCGGAAATCGAAAGGGGTCACTGTAAGGACCTGTCCTTATTAAATAAATCTACTCCTTGCTTCGGTCAGCGCCGCCGCCTCCGCTGAGGCGGTGGCTAAAGAGGCAAAATATGTGTGGGCACTGCAAGAAAACGACTTCTTTCCTCCCCTGCGCTTCCAGAGCTTTCTCGAGTCGCTGGCGTCCGAGGACCCGCTGTGCCAGCTGCCCGACGTCTGCCGCATCCCCGCCATCCAGAAGTGGATCCGCCTCCGAAACGGGCTGCTCTACGTCCACCGCAGGCTGGACGGTGCGCTCGGGGGAATCCCACTTTATTTCCACTTGCCTCAAACAAATTTTGTCAACACTGACACTGTCGCGCCCCGCAGAGGTGCTGCAGGACCGCAGCCTGACGATGTACAACGCCAACCACCTGGGCATGGCGTACCGGGTGCCCACCCCGAAGCACGGCCTCAGCCCCAAGCAGGTGCGCGAGCTGACGTGGGACAAGCGGGACTGGTACCGCCGCAGGGTGAGTTTCCGAAGCACGCCCCAGGAGCACCAGCGGATAAATGAGGTCAAAATGCTGATTCGAACCCTCGCCCAGGTGGACAAGATCATGCGCGGCTACTACACGGCGCTGCGCACCATCCAGGTGAACGCGTCCCGCGAAATGTTCCCCGCCATGGCGTGCGACTACTTCCCGGCCCGGGACCGCTTCATCAAGACGTACTTCGCGTACATGCCCAAGCACGAGATGGACGTGCCGGTGGTGAAGCCCTGGAACGCGGGCGAGTTCAACCAGGAAGTGCTGCCGCGGTGGCGGGACCGCTACTACCAGTGCCGGCAGCAGAAGTGACGTGCCGGCGTGACGGCGTCGCTGTGACACGCGGTACGCGGTGCGCGGTGACGCAAGTGTGGGTGTGCAAGCCTCGCAAGCCTCACTCGCCTCGCCGGGGCAGTGCGGCGCCTGCACTGTGACGCCTTTGTGCGTCGCCACGTGTGACGGCTTGCCTGCGCCCTGCAGCCCCGCCAGCCCCGCCAGCCCCGCGCGGCGTCCGCAGGGAAAGCCCTGTCACGTCATCGTTGCGCCATCCCGACGGGCCGTGTCGCCTCGTGTCACCTTGCCAGTGGGGTGGATTCTGTCTGAGAAAATGGAACACCTACGGTAAAAAAGATTTTTTATTTTTTGAAAATTCTTGAGCAGTCTTGTTTAGGAACACATTGGTCGCGTCTCTCCCTGGTGGGTCATCCTGGGGCCAGCGGGAAACGCGGTCGGTGGAGAGGTTGTCCGGAGACATCGTCGCCGGACACACTGGGAAGCAGTCGTTTGGTCAGATGAGGCGTGCTGCCCGAGGGTCGTTGTCGTCGTCGTCGTCTTGTCGTTCTCCAGGAGCTCTACCGCACGCACGAGTAGCGCAGGTCGCACCGTTCGCCGCGCCGTCCGTACTCCACCGCGTCCGCCATGCCCTCCACGATGTGCTCGTACTTCTCGTCGTACGGGATCACCCTGCCGAGCGTTCGGAAAACAAAACATTAGTTGAGACGAAAATAAAAAGTCTCGCCAACTATCAAATTGGAAGTGCACAAAGTGCTGTGACTGATGGCGGTCCTTACCCTTGCAGCAGCTTGGCGCCCTTGGACAGCAGCAGGCCGGCGCGGGCGTAGCCGTTGGCGGCGTCGGGCTCCTGGCAGGCCACCCTGTTGAGGCACTCGTAGTCGCGCGGGCCCTGTCCGAGGCCCTGGCCGCCGTGCACGCCGCGCTGGCCGGCCTGGCCGCCCTGCGCGCCGCCCATCAGGAAGCCGAGCAGCAGCAGGGCCTCCTGCTCGGACACGAGGGGCGCGGGGCCGCCGTGGTCGCCGCGGGACGACTTGGCGGCCCAGCCCACGCCCATGTGGCCCGCCCCGAAGATGATGGCCTTGAGCACCAGCAGGATCACCAGGTTGGTGAGGTTGAGGCTCAGCACCTGGCTGCTGGTGGCGGACCGGCTGATGAGCTCGCGGGCCATCTCGGCCAGCACCGCCCTGCCGGCGCCCACCCCCGCGCGCCCGCCCCGCTCCACCTCCTCCACGGCGTTGGAGTCGATGGCCGTGTCCGGGGCCGGGTCCGAGGGCAGCGCGCCCACCGCGGTGGCACCGACCACCGCCACGAGCAGCGCCAACACGCACACGGCGCGCCGCATCCTGCAATGGACGAGGTGCTTTCATTTCGCTCACGAGAAACACTTTTGCAAAGTCCGAAGTCTGCTGGCGCGCTGGCGCGCTGGCGCTTACCTTGTAGGCGTGGGGCTGACGGAGACGAGAGGACCGCGACGCAGAGTGGCGTCGCCCGGAGGATGGAATCCGCGGGCAGCGACGTCGCGGCGCTTTATAGAGGCGTGGGGAGCGTCGCGACGCCCCTCGCCCTCGCGCCGCCTCGCGCCCTCGGCGTGCTGCCACGCCGGCGGCGGGGGTGTGAACCCAAGCGTGCGCGCGTGCGTGCGTGCGCTACTCGCGGCACGACGCCTTACACTTCCTGTCCAAAGACGCGCGGCCTGGACGTCGCTGCTTGAACGCGGCACAAGGGTGAATTTTGGCTTACCAAAAATCCACCAAGGAACCGGGAGTTTCCTACAAGCAATAAACTTGACCAAATTATTGTTAAAAATATAACAACCCATTTTGGGTTAAATGCAGCATTAATCTATCGTTTAATTTTTGAATCATTGTTGTGGTCTGAAGCTGTGCCACCTTCAACTCAGCGGCACTGGCTGCCCCCGGCCGCGCCCGACTTCCGGGCTGCGGGTCCACGCGACAGAGAGACAGAGTGACAGAGACGACACGGGACTTCCCCTCCCTTTCTCTATTGTAACCGCGCCCCGGAACAGCCACAAGTGCTCCTCCACGCCGTGACGCTACGCGACGCGCCACTGCAGAGCGCCACAACGCCCTCGCGCTCTACTTGCTGAGCTGCAGTACGCGACAAAGAACAAGTACTGACCAATTGCTCCTTTTTATGAAAAGCAAATGGAGGAAGACGAGCTGGAACAGTACCGGCCTTTTCGTCAAGTAGGCTGTGGCTTTGGGGATTTTTAATCCCCAGCCCTATTTGTCACAACTTCATCACTTCCAGCTGGCCCCCATTCCTCCCCCTCCCCGCTACGCATGAAATAGTTAAAAAAAAAAAGCCCGATTGTGTCGATGTGGGTGTGGCAGGGCAGGAGGTGCGTTTGAACGGTCGCGCCGTTTGTGTTCGTGACGCGACGGGGCGTGGCGATGTGACCCGTGGCGACCTTGACACGGCCGCCTGCGTTCGGTCTGAACGAACAAAGCGACATGTAACCTTGTAAATAATATACTCAAAGAGTCCCTAAGAATATTGGAACCTTTAGGCAGTTGGCCGTTTGAAGTTTCTGCTTTGTTGAACGGTTGGTACCTGACAGCGCTCCGTTAAACAAAAGAACGGTGCCGACGACGCGAATTGTTTTTGTTTTGATCCGGTTCGATTTCTGATTTGTGTCATTGGAAACTAACAGACTCGCCGTCCTACACAGGTAATTTCTGTTTTGTTGTGTCAGTTCTTTGCATTTTTCGATTTTCTCCGTTTTGTCCCGTAAGTGTAGTGTTGTGTCCTGAAATGCAGCGTCGAAGCGTCCGGAAAGTAGTAACATGTCGTCTGTCGGCGCCATGTCAGGGCTATGCCCTATTTTTAGCCTAGTTGAGGAAGCGGTTTCCAATTTCCCGTTAGATCTTTTTGGCGTGTCCATGAATTTTGGATTGCCGTCTTTTCTCTGAGTCTGTCTCACTTGAACGCCGTAGTTATTGTTACCGTTCCTCCAAGTTAAGGACGCATTTGGTTGACTCGTTTAGAATATCGAGCCTGGACCTCTCATCAAGCCCGCCGTCAGCCGAGAGCTTTCATACCGTTTGAATGATGAATGTTGAACCAGAAGACGAAATCGTTCTCTTTGTTAAACTCGGCTATGATGGCCAAAGTCTGGGTGCGTGCCACCAGAGCCAGAGAGTGCACATGCTTTCAAGACTCAAGGTAAGTTTTGTTAAAGTGGAGGTTAATTTCCCTCTTGGCTACTATTTCTTTTAAACTTTTCTTGTTTTTATTATGTTTTTATCGTATTTTCTCTACTGTCTTTTCGTGGCTTTGCTTTGAAACCCACATTAAGTAGTTAAAACTGTTCATTATACTATTTGGTTGTCAAATTTTTTCTCGCAGGCATCTGCAAAAGTGATGCCTTTTCCTCGAGTGGTTCCTGTCAATACGGCAAAACCTCCAAAGGAGTTCACTGAGTTGGATATGAGACTGCGGCTACCAGTTCTTCATGTCACACCGGCTGCCATGGAGGATGGATTTGATCCATTGGATTCATCAGATGACATTGTAGTGGCCTTAGAGGGAAGGTACCCTGGAGGATTATGTACATCGAACAGTCAATGTGAGGCAGAAGCGGACCAGGCATCAAGGTAACTGCGGTTTTTAGCTTATCAAAAGTTCATACGATCTGTATTTGATGTTAAACGTCTTTTGATGTTACAGGGATTTCTTTTCAAAGTTTTGCTTTCTTGTTCGAGGTGTGGCAAAAGAAAGTTCTCATTTGGAAACTGAACTGCAGACCTTAAATAATTTTCTTGAAAGTTCAAGTTGCGAAAGAGGAGAAGGAGGCTTTCTATGTGGCTCCTATCCTTCTTTGCTTGATTGTGAAATCCTCCCCAAGTTGCATCAAGTCCGAGTTGCTGCTCAAGCCCTGAAGGGTTAGTGTCAGTGTAATCTCAAATCTGTTTCCTTCTTTTTCTCTTTCATGAATTAACACTTATCCTTTTTATCATCTTATCAGGATTTTCAATACCACCACATTTTTCATCATTGTGGCGTTATCTGCATGCCGCATACAGCTGCACTGCATTTACTGAGTCTTGTCCTCCTGATCATGAAATCATATTACACTGGCTTGAACACTGTGGAACTCCAGAAGCCATGAAGCAAAGCCGCAAATTGCTGTCACAGATTGGAAGCGAGCGACATCAGCCTTCTTATTCATTTAGCATTCCTGCTAAGGCCACTCCTGTAGTAATTGATGACTAAAGAAACTACACACTAGTGTAGTAGTTGTATTATTAAATTTGGAGAAGAATTTGGCTTTCATTTTACTTAGTAGTTCTTACTATGTATCATTGGTATTATTTTTCCATGCCATTTGCTATTTAAGCAGCTTCCATGAGATTTTTCCCAAGGTTTAGATAAGTGACTAAGATAGTGCCTTTGTGTGTGCATGGCTTTTTACTTACTAAAATCTCCTATTGCATTGACTTACCAAACTCATGTGAACCGTATACAATACTTTTTAAGTTTGTTAATATTGTTGTTGACTAAAAGCTGATGGGTGAGCTCAGCTCAACGCAGCATACAGAACTTGCCAAAGATGAATGAACGGTATTTACCTTGTCCATGTATCAATTATCCATGAAGATAATGCTTTGTTGATTGATACTGCAATATTATCCAGACAATACTAGTCGTATGTATAGGTCCAAAGCATAGCTTTAGAAGACTGTTTAACTCTTATTACATAGGTATAGTATTAACATTTGACATGTCTATTTTTGGAAGTCTTTTATTTTTCCCCTCTAGGGTTTACAAATAGGGTCCATTGCCAGTTTGCTGTATAACTTAAGTATCATTGTGACTTAAAATTCTGTGTTTATTGCTATCGATGTCAAGAAGAATTTTGTGATGTTTTTATTGTAGCAGAGCACATATTTTGCACCTGTAATTCACATTTGGACTTAGCAAATATTTGCACGACTTTTTCTGGTTCATATTTTTTCCCACCTACTGGTCTGATGGAAGTTTACAGAAGGGAAAATAATAACCCTGTATCTATTTCTGGATATTTTTGTATGGTCCTTTAAAGGGCACTTCCTTGACTTTTAGTTCTTAATTTTGTAAAGTCGTATGTAAGATATGTTCCCCACCAACTGTATTTCCTTATGTGAATTCGATGTACCATTTTACATGACATAATATTTTTCTGAACGACAAAGAAATACATTTTATTTCTAGTCAATTATAAATATACCAGTATTTGTTTTTGTGCTTACTAACTTCGTTTTTGTTTTGTTTTTCATATTGACTTAATTAGGTTATCAAGGAGCTGTTTGTTTTTTTGTTGTTTTTTCTAACCCACCGAGTGCTTATTTCTACTTTGTACTGTGACCTGCAGAACATATAATCAAATGCAGTCTGTATTTCCATTTCTCCACCTAAACAGTTATAGTTTGTTTTGTGCCACTACCAATCCTTTTGCTTCTGTAAAATAAGAATATGTAATTAACATATATACTAAAAATACAGGATTGAGTTAACTGTTACAGACTGTTTTATTTATGGTTTGCTCTCTATCTCTGTGATTGTAACTTTTCTTGTTTCTTGTAACACAAATACTCTTGTTTGCTTTCACCATGTACATGTGCCTTACCTATTGGTTGTGCAATAAAGTTTTTATTAGTGTTTTGAAGTTTCCTGCTTTTCATTTCCCTTGAGTTCCACCAAACAAACCTTGTGACATATGTTTTAAACATTATTCATTCGAGTTGTTATTTTTTGCTGTTTCAGTCGCTGCCTACGTTCAAGATTGTGAATCATGAGTGCAGCTTCAGGTACTTCAGGTGGTTCACTCAAGGGAGACGGAGACACTCCACCAGCGACACCGATCCCAGATGCCCCAGAATCTCCTAGAACAGCTGGACAGCCGCTTTCAGACTTCCTTATGCAATTAGAAGATTATCAACCAACTGTAAGTCCATCTCCATCCAATAGTTTAAGAGTTTCATTTTTTATGTCATTAGTTTTCATTTCTCCTTCTCTGTTTCCAGATTCCTGATGCTGTCACCGGATTCTACCTTAACTCAGCTGGGTTTGAGGCCACAGACCCAAGAATGTGAGTTGACATTCTTTTCTCTTTTTATGTACTAAGGTACATGTTACCTATGTCTTGCAAGCTCTTTTACTGGTGCCTTTTTTTTTCTCTGTTGGCTTTCAGAGTCAGACTTGTTTCCCTGGCGGCACAAAAGTTTATTTCAGACGTAGCTAATGATGCTCTTCAGCATTGCAAAACCCGGACATCCAATCAAACCAACAAGACCAAGGGAAAAGATAGAAGGTAATAGAATATTAGATATTATCCTGATAGTCTGTTTTAAGAAATGCCTCCTATTATAAGCACATTAACTATTTCAGATTCACCTTAACAATGGAAGACCTTCAACCAGCCCTAGCAGAGTATGGTATAACTGTGAAGAAACCTCATTATTTTATGTAAATTTAAAACCCTTAATTTTATGTAATGCCAGTCAACAACCAAAAAATTGCCTTGACAACTTTTCCTCTGAGAATACCCAAATAAAAAATGTTTTGCCAAAAATGTTTTTTGTTTCAATTTATTTTGATTCCTTTATATTATTGGACAAACACTAAATGTTACGAACAACAAGTCTTAGATCGAAATTAAACAAAACAAGGAGTAGTACTAGAAATAAAAAAGACACCACAATAGTAGAGAAATTGGTTAAAACACCAAACCCATCTTGGATCACATGGATCTAGGTGCAGTTCATGATTTCCTTCCACGCCTTCTAGTGGCCTTCCAGCGACCGGGATCGGTGTGCTGGTGTGATCTGCGGCAGGCGCGGGGTAGCGCCGACGCGCGCCGCTGTGCGCCGCCGTGCTGTGCGTGGAGGCGTCGAGGCCCCCGCCGCGCGAGACTCCAGCCGGGCCTCCAGGACTCCAGTCTCGGCGCGAGCGTCGAGCTGGAAGGACCGGTCCCGTTTCGCGTCGCCCGTAGTCGCGTCCCGGCGGACCGCCCCACGAGCGTTCTTACGTCGACGTTGGATAGTGCACTGGAAAAAAAAATTCCAATTTTTTTTTTGTGGTGGCGACATCATACGGGGGTTGAGAGAAATTGACAGTCTCGAAGGTGAGTTGAAAACGCTTTGACGGGTAATCAACAGACAACGATCAATCATCAGGCTATCTGGCCACTTGAGTATCGGCGTGGTGCGAAGAAGGGCGGAGGGGAGGCCCTCACGCGGCCTTCCTTAAAAACGATTCAAAGTCCATTAGGGCTAGCCGGGGGTAGTGCTGCCAGCCCCTGGCAGATTCCGAGGGGGCGCCTCTCTCCGAGCCTCTCTCTGTCTCTCGCTCTCTCTCGCACTTATGGGGTGTCTCGTATGGGTGCGAGAGAGAGAGAGAGAGAGAGAGAGAGAGAGAGAGAGAGAGAGAGAGAGAGAGAGAGAGAGAGAGAGAGAGAGAAAGAAAGGCCACGCGACCCCCTTCTCGAAATCTGCCTGCAGCGCGTCACGGGGCCCCGCCCTCGCTATCTCGCAAGAAAAATGGAACGCTTCATAATTGGATGCCTCGACACAAACCCGTAACGAGACGACGAGTCGCCCCGAGCCACGCTCGCAGACTCACAGCTCGCGGGGCAGCGGGCACCCCGCAGCACTCCGCGACAAAGGACTCGGTTTTGACTTCGGCTCGGCCGAATCCGGCGTCAAACAAAACAATCATTTCATTTAATAGGGCAGCAGTCACGCATTGATTGGATAAGTTTTGAAACCCTCCGGGCCCCTTTCATAATTTTTTTAAAATTCTTTAAGGGAAGGACTTTTGTCGACCGTTGCAACCGGGATTTCTGAGACGTGCATGCCCCCTTCTTTTTCGCCTCTCTGTTCAAGATCAAGACTAATAAAAGTTGAAGTTTGACTTGGAAAATAAAGAGGAAAAAAGGAGCGGGTTTTACAAACGGGGCAAAGCGAAGTACGTAATGATTCCCTTCTAGTTACTTGGGGACAATTTGGAACTTGGAACAAGACGAAAGAAGGAGCCTCCCCGACCAGCCCCGGGCTGTCTGCCCGCGCTGTAGCGCCAGCCCCGCCAGCCGCCAGCCGCGCCCGCCCTGCCATGCCTTTGTCAAGGGCAAGGACAGGTGTCGGGGGAGGGGTGGGCGGGGTGCGGGCGGCACAGGGACGACGCTAAGGGAAAGGGGGAGGGGAGGGGGATTTCAGCTTACGTTGCTTATGTGCTCGAAACCGCCCTCTCCTGAGGCACCTGCGTTATCTACGGTTGTTGCCTAACCCCCGGGGCGCAAACTTGACGACCCCAGCCTTGCCTGGCCTGGCCGCGCTGGCGTGGGGGCACTCGTACAGTCGCGGCCCCAAGTGTGTCATCAAAAAACACTCCCCTGTCCCCGTTACACGTCGCGATGCCGCCCTAGAGCCGCCCAGACTTTTCTCCCGATCTTCTCCTGACCTCCGACCCGGAGCCCTGTCCGGAACATCGGGGCGGGCGGTGGTGGCGAGGACGGCGATGAGGACGGTGACGAGGACGGCGACGAGAACGGCGACGAGGACGGCGACGAGGACGGCGACGAGGACGGCGACGAGGACGGCGACGAGGACGGTGACGAGGCGGTCGTGGCGACCGTACCATAGAGCTGCTGTTGCTGTTTGTACGACGCGCTTGCATGGTGAATGGCCGGAGTGGAAGGACGAGTTCATTACCAGTGCAAACTCAGCGCGCGGCCCGGGGTGGTCCGGGTGGCTCGGGGTGGCCGGGCCACTGCCTCACCAATTATTCAGAATCACACGTCACTGCCCCCGGGGGACGGGACGGGACGCACGCAGCGCGTCAGGCACGGCCCGGCCGTGGCCCAGCCACTCCAGCCTTTCTGCTTACACGCCGTACACGCCACTCTGTTGCTCAACACGCCACTGTCTGTCCGCTGGGCCGCGCGGCATGAAGCGAAACAGGTGTGCCCCATGGGCGGGGCGGGGCGGGGCGCGGGGTCTCAGAGGCCTATTACTTTCTGATGCTAGTTGCATGACCGGGTTGACTCAGGGCGCCGCTTCCTCGCTTTGCCTCTCTCACACCTTGGACGCCCCTCCGCGAGACCGAGAGAGACAGGGCGACGGAGGGGAGTACAGCGGAGGTGGAACGAGGTGGAAGCACGTCCTCGCCGACTTGCCGCGCTTTAAGTTGGAGGCGACTTGGCCTGGCTGCTGGCGCTGCTGGCGCCCCATCCGCCCCGCCCCGCCCCGCCCCGCCGGCGCGAGCGTCTCGAGCGTCTTCCCCTCCCCGCCTCGGCTCTCGAGTCGACCTGTCTGCGCCGGCAGGGCGGCAGCCAGGGACGCTCGAGAACTCCATTGAAAAGTAAGGGTGTGCACAGTGCAGTGGAAACCCAAGTCACCAGTGCGGAACGGCCGCGGGCCGCGGCTCTGTCGTGTGACCGGATTATCCCTCGTGCCAACATCGCCAGTTCCACACAATGGGGCCGCAGCGCGCGCCACCGCGCCGATAGCCTGTTCGTCCCGACAGTCTCCGCCTGGACGCGCTCTGCCACACTGCCAAAGTGAGCGTGGCCACGCCGTTTGCGGATGCCGCTGAGGAACGTAGTTTTCTCCACAGGCCCGGCCGGTCTAGCGCCTGCGGGATTGAGGGTAGGCCAGCCCGGCCGACTCGCGCGCCGCCGCGCGGCCTACCCCGCATTCCGCAGGCGTTCCGCTCCGCTCCGCGCCGCGCGTGTCCCTGTCCCGTCGGCGGTGATCTAATGTGTGTGGTCCCGGCCGAGTGGACGAAGAGTGGACGACCTGCGTGGCCGCAGCGTTACCGCCGCAGCGCCGCAACAAGGGCGAGCTCTAAATTAGCTGCCGGCCGCCGGGGGCACGGCGCGGCGCGGCGCAGCGCGGCACGGAGCGGCATGGCACGGCATGGCACGACACGGCACGCACGTACGGGGCGTGCCCGGGCGCCAACGAACTGGGATTGGGACCCCTAATTTGTTCGCCGCGACACGTCCTGTGAGCGTGGGTGTGCTGCACGGTGTGGCATGTGCTAGTGTGTGTGCGCGCGCGTCGTGTGTGTGTGTGAGGGGCCAGGGTTTGCGCACGGGCGTGTCCATCCATGGTGTTCCCAGGAGGTGGATATCAAAGTAACCACCCCCGCGCACCGCTCCACCGGTTCCAGGTTCTCCGAATCGTACCGTATCGGCGGGACCGTGTCATTGTCACCATCGACGGGACTCGCCTCTCGAAAATGAATTCCTGCTCCACGGGTTGTCGGACGCCGTATTACACCGCGTTCGCAGAGCCAATCGGAATTCCGTCAGCCTTTATCCCTTTTGCCGGGTTGGGTTGGGGAGGGGGAGGGGCGGGGGAGGGGCAGAGAGTGTGAAAAGGAGGCGAGGGGAGGGGTCCTTAGCGCGTGAGAGAGGGGTGGGAAATGCCTCCCCCAGGTCAGGTAAGCGGAAAACCGCTCCGACCGCATCGTGAAAAACACAACGCGGTCGTATGAGACGCAGCTTTTTTTCCTCCAGAGAGAATGTCGGCCTCTAGGTCGGTCAGTCAGTTGCATCACCGTGCTCCCTGGACCTTTCGCCGCTGCTGTCGCTTCCGCTGCCATAGAGCTGCCACTCGCTTTGCGGCCGTGCCCTGCGCGCCGTCTGTGGCTGAAAAACAACGC